GAGCGCTGAATACTGCGGAAGGCAGGACGGAGAATGAAACGTCTTCTCCCCTTTCTTTCCAAAATGTTAAACAGCCCACCCAAGTGATAAACTGGTGAATGGCAGAGCCACGATTTGAATACAGACCTGTGTTCTTTTCAATGAAATTAAGCTGCTTCTCAGCCTGAGCAGGAACTAAGGACGTTTTTTTCCTAAGATCATGTGACCAGAAAAATCCTTGAATGCTGTATCACGTTGATAAGTATTCAAAAACCCTGATAAAATTTTTGCTGCCTTGCTCCAACATTTATTCACCTTTCCATCTGATGCCATGCTTATAAGCACATGGATTGATGATGAAATGCCGTATTGGACTCGGTATGAGAAGACACATAGCCACTGCTTCCTCACATGAAGCCAGAGATGACAGTGTGTTGTTCCCTCAGTATTTGGATTGTGCGTCTTCTCCAGTTACACAGCCATGCTGCAGTTGAAAGAGTACCGTTAACAATCAATAGGGCAACTGTATGGTTTAGGGATGTTTTCCCACCACTGGCCCTGGTAGTTTATTTCACATCTTCAAAAAACATGCATGATGTAGCCAGGTCAGTTATAATTATATCTGGCTGTGCACATTTGTTGTTGATCACTTATTTTGTTGTTCTCTTATTATCTTTGGTTTTAGTTCAGGGGTCAGCAGACTTTTTGTGTGTAAAGGACCAGATAGTAAATATTTTTACCATTCACTGTCTATCACTACTATTCAACTCTGTTCTTGTGTAAAATTGGCCATAAACAGTACCTGAAGGAATGAGCAAGGGTGTGTTCTGATAAAACTTTATTTACACAAACGGATTAATCTGGCCCTCAGGCTGTCACGTGCTGACTCCTGTCCAGACTGTAAGCTCTCAACGGCAGAGACAGACGTGCCTCCGCTGTGGTTTCTGGGAGGACTCTCTCCTTGACCACCGTCTTGCAGTGTCCGCATGGGGCCTCTCCTCTGTGCAGACACAGAAGAAGCTCTTAGGTGGTTTTTCCTCTTCTTATATGGCCACGAGAACTGTCTGATTGGGGCCCCACCCATACAGTGTTATTTAACCTCAGTCACTTCTTTAAAGGGCTTCCCAGGTAGCTCCGTGGGTTAAGAATCCACCTGCAATGCAGGAGTTAAAGAAGACATGGGTTCAATCCCTGAGCAGGAAGATCCCCTGGAGGAGGGCCTGGCAACCCACTCCAGTATTCTTGCCTGGAGAATCCCCTAGACGGAGGAGCCTGGCGGGTCGGAAAGAGTGGGAAATGGCTGAGCGACTAAGCAACAGCACCTCTTTAAAGGCCCTGTAGTCAAGTGCGGTCACGTTAAGAGTTAGGGCTGATCTTTCAGCTTGGCGGACGCGGTTCAGTCCATAATCCACAAGAAGGGTCTAAGCAGGAGAGAGGCATGACTCGGATGGACATGTGCAAGCTGGTGATGGGAAGTCCTGTTAGATTCCACCTGCGGCATTTAAGGAGCAGGACTGTGGTGTCCTGCGTTATGGTGGTGGCTGCGGGGATGAAGAGGAGGGAGTGCGTTGGAGGTGTGTGTGTGGGGAGAAATGTCTCAAAGCTGTCACACATAAGTTACCTATCTGTATCCCTCGGTAGGAGACATAAGAGACGCGGGTTTTCGAACCCTGGGTCGGGAAGATCCCCTGGAGGAGGGCATGGCAACCCACTCCAGTGTTCTTGCCTGGAGAACCCCGTGCACAGGAGCCTGGTGGGCTGCAGTCCATAGGGTCGCAAAGGTCAGACATGACTGAGTGCCTAACACTTTCACTTTCATCCCTCAGTAACCTGGGTGGCCGCTCAGTTCCCAGTGTCTAAGGTCGCACTGTATGCCTAGCAGATGCCCAGTGAAGGTTGAATAAATGCACAGGTGTCTGTGACGGGCTGGAATGGTGGGGAGAGACATAAAGTTTCCAAATCCATATTTTACGTAGTGCCTGCCTGACAAGGGTTATGATTTAGACCTGCAAAGCTGCTTGATGTCACCAAGGGCTTCAAGGAAATGATTTCTAATTAATTTTTCTTCGGTAGTCTATGATGACAGAGCTTAACTGTTCTTTGAGTGTCTGAATATCACACTCACACACACACAGCAGAGAGCTTCCTGCTCAGCTTAGAGCTCCCCGCCCAGCCTTCCAAGGCAGCCACACAGATCTGGCCTGGAGTGGGTGTTTGGGTGGTGAGTGGCTGGGTTGTGCAATGGCTTATTTTCTCTGGATCACATGGCTTGTGGTTATCGAGTCTATGCCTTTTCGTTTGTCTCCTTCAAACTCAAAGGACTGGATCTAATCTTAACATGGGAAATAAACACACAGACACTGGCAGTAATGATGACAAAATGATCACTTACGAAGTGTTTCTATAGAATGCATTTATGCCACTCACCTGGATACTTAAACATGGTTAAAATGGTAAATGTATGTTGTGTGTGTTATTAATAATATGGGCTTCCCATATTATTGGCTCAGATGGTAAAGAATCCACCTGCAATGCAAGAGACCTGGGTTCGATCCCTGGGTCGGGAAGATCCTCTGGAGAAGGGAATAGCTACCCACTCCAGTATCCTTGCCTGGAGAATTCCATGGACAGAGGAGCCTGGTGGGCTACAGTCCATGGGGTCACAAAGAGTCTGACACGACTGAACGACTAACATGCTTTCACACACTTACTATTAATACAATAAGGAAACTTTCTCTGTGGTGCTTTGAACCTTACCCTATTTTGTGCACCCTTGTAATGGAGAGATGAGATCCTGATTCTGTCACTTACCAGCTGAGCCCCAGTACCCTCATCCAAAAGATGGGTAGATAATGTCTACCTCCCAGGGTTGTCCTGCTTGATATGAAATAGGTGTCCAGTACATGGTCACCACTTTTATTATTTTTGTTCTGAAAGATTTCTGATGAAAGTCTGCTCTTAAGAGTTTGAGAATTTTTTAAAGGGGGGGGTGTGTGTGTTAGTCACTCAGTTGTGTCCAACTCTTTGCGACCCCATGTACTGTAGCCCACCAGGCTCCTCTGTCCATGGAATTCTCCAGGCAAGAATACTGGAGTGGGTAGCTATTCACTTCTCCAGAGGATCTTCCCGACCCAGGGATCGAACCCAGGTCTCCTGCATTGTAGGTGGATTTTTTACCATCTGAGCCACTAGAGAAGCCCTAAGGAGTATATTGAATTTAAATACTAGCTAAACCATAAAGCTCCAGTGTTCTGGCCTGGAAACTCCCATGGACTGAGGAGCCTGGTAGGCTACAGTCCATGGGGTCGCAAAGTGTCGGACACGGCTGAGCGACTTCACTTCAAACCATAAAGCTGCAAGTAAGGCCCATTAAGCAAGTGTAAAATCTCAAGAAACAGCCATTTACTAACCCATAGAAAATTAGGAAAGAGAGAAAATGTTTTACTCGGCAGTTAAAGGGTTTAACCCTGAACCTGCCTGTCCTTAAGGCCACTCATGTTTTGTAGTGGTCTAGTATTTTACCTGGCTCCCCTGGTGGCTCAGTGGCAAAGAACCTGCCTGCAAGTGAAGGGGTTGTGGGTTCAGTCCCTACGTTGGGAAGATCCCCTGGAGAAGGAAGTGGTAACCCTCTCCAGTATTCTTGCCTGGAGAATACTGGAGGGGCCAGACAGCCTATAATCCATGGGATCGCAAAAGAGTCAGACAAAACTTAGCGACTAAACAACAGCAATAATCATTGGACATCCATGTTGCTTCTGGGATTTATTTTAAATAATATTGGACAAAATCCTCACTTAAATATTTCAACGTATCTTAGATGTACACTTATGATTATAAAAATTTAGATGTTTAAGATACTAGATTTGGTATAAAGCCTGCAGCCAGCTAAATAGTTCCACTCAAGGCAACTCACCTTGATAAAAATATCTAACAAACTATAACATGAAAGTGGAATATAAAAGATATCTCCTTGGAAAGCAATTGTCCTTGCTTCCAAATTTCAGTAAATATTTTACAAGTTGTCCAGTGTTGTAAAGGTTTGGTTTTCTCCTCTGTAGCCTACAAATAATAATACCTTCACTATGCTGAAAGTTTCAAGGAGTCAGTGTTTATAAAGCATTTCATTCAGAGTCCCTCGTGCAGTTAACACTAAATAAATGTGAGCTGCCACTATTAATAATGATATCGAGTACATGTAGGTAGGTATGATGCTTATGTATCAGTAAATAATGCCTGAAAGTATATATATTCCTAATGTAAATATATTCCTAATTTGAATATAACTGAGGTTGCACTTGGAACTTGTATAGTGTCACTTTATGCGGTGGTGTATACACAAACACAAATTCTAAATATAAGGAGTGGGTGGTGACAGTTAGGAAAATAGGCTAGAATGTGTTTTCAAGAAGCCATTAGGAAAATTTGAGGACTAAGCTGGTATTTAAAGTACATCACACAGCAAAAGCTCAGAATATTAATGTTAATAGCAACCAGATATTGTAGGACAGTGGTTTTCAAACTTTGAAAGCAGGGCACACTTCCCAAGAGAAATTCAATTCCAATAAGACCCACAATGCAAATAAACGTATGTATGTGTCAGCTTTGTAAAGGTGTTTAGCCAAACAGTACTCTCTCCATGCCTGCTGTACTCTGATATTTTAAAATCTGTTTCATTTTATTTTAATGTTGGTTGTGAACTGATTAAACTTGCTGGGTAGAGACACACAATTTAAAATAAAACCTTAAAGCTTGTATACCCTTAAAAAAAGTTGGCAGCTACATTATTGTTGTTGTAAATTCTGACCCAAGCATTTTATCAATAATGAATGGTTTTGTTCTTATTTGCATGATAAGTTGAGCTTTGGGGGTCCTTCATCAGTCTAATTTCCATGTGGGTAAATAACGTTCTGTCAAAAGCATCATAAGCGAATGCAGGAAGAATTCAGCCGAAAACTAGGCACGGGTCCTATTTCACCCTGGTTTCCCTCTTTTAAACCAGGTAGTTCCAATTTGCCAGCAAAATGAGTACAGAAAGAGACTCAGAAACAACGTTTGATGAGGATTCTCAGCCTAATGATGAAGTGGTTCCCTACAGTGATGATGAAACAGAAGATGAGCTTGATGACCAGGAACCTGCGGTGGAACCACAGCAGAATCGGGTTAACAAGGAAGCGGAGGAAACCCGGGAGCCGTTCAAAAAAGGTATCGTGCTGGGATCTGGAGGCCAGGCAGCCGTCTGTCCTCATGTGGGCAGTAGCAACAGGTGCAAAGGACGGATGCTCCGGGAGGCATCTTCTTTCTCTCAGCTTCGGATGAAACTTGATGGGCTGGGACCAGTACACTCTGTCCTCAGTGTGGTAGGCTGGTGGACCGTGGCTGTCAAGCTCTGCAGAGGAAACAGAAGGTTCTCGCTTCATGTCTCTATTTTTAGAAAGGAGCTGAGTCTGGGAGAATTTGCTTGTTACCACACCCAGGAACCTTGGAGTCACTGTAACGCTTGTGAATATAAAAGGGTTTTGGCTTTTTAGTAACAGGGGCAGAATGTGTAGGTCTCTGTCACGAGGGGCTATGATGCAGCAGAGTGCTCCCTGCGCCGAATCAGCGCCGCTTCAAGGCCGGCTCTGGACCACGGAGTGGCAGACGTTTTCCAAGGGACGGGTAGTAGCTATTTCAGGCTCTGTGGCTCATACAGTCTCTGTCACAACTTACCGCTGATGTTTCTTGAAAACGGCCATAGACAACCTGTCATTCGGGGTTATAGAATGTAGCTGACTTTCATGGTTGTGCTTTTTTTCTCCCATGACTTTTCTATTTCATTTCCTACTAGTTCTCCCACCCTGCGAACACATGCGGTCTTTTCTTCTAGCACTTCCGCTCCAGGAGGAAGCCGATCCTTTGGTCTTTACACCCCAGATTTGCACCATAGTTCAAGTTGAAAATGTTTTCCTCCCCGGTCCAGCGACATAACTGGTTTCCCATTCACAGAAATTGCCAGGAAGTTGTTCTCTTTCTGCCTCTCCTGCTACGCCTGGTTCCAGCCTCAGTCAGAATAACCTCTGGTTTTGTCTGGCTTCCCTGTCATTGCCGACCCCCCTTCCAGGCCTGCCAGAAGCCTGCTTCTCTTATGTTTCCCTGCCTCTGTTCTCTCCCTGCAGGATTCTGCTGCCTGTTAAGCTGATTTGTTTGTTTTCCAAAGAGATTTCACCTGTAGAAAAACAGATACAGCACGAAATCCCACTGATGTAGTGATTCCTTCTGCTCTGCTCAGATGGTGTCCATCTTCTGCTCCACTGTGTGGGGAGGTCTTGATGGGGAGGTGATGTGGACGTGTGCCCACGAGGGCTGCCTCTCACCACAGGCTCTGAAACTTAGGGAGGCCATCTGCTCAACTACATCGTTGTCCCCTCCTCAGCTTTCTGCATCAAACACTGAGCAGCATCAGGTCTTCCTGTGGATGTCTGGCTGTGATTTTAAGCTATTGAGCATCAGTGCCTTCTGAGAAGGCACTGAAATCACTATAATTGAGCTTTGTTGAAATGGAATCACTGCCAGTCTGATGAGGAATGTGGCCTCTGTCATAACAGGTCCAGACTGGATAGTGTTTGAATGGGGATAAGGCAGAAGTCGCCGGACGAGTTAGCAAGGGGAGTTCTAGTTGATTGCCCAGATAGTAAATAACATGTTTCTTCCTCATTCCTTCTCCCACTGTACTTTTTAAGTTTTATATAACCATCATGGAATCTACCCTATGTAGGTATCTGATGAGCTGGCTGAGAATGGTCTTGGTGCGGATTGGGGTGAACTTTGCCGTTGGGCTTGCCGCCATGTTATCAGGTGTGTGGTCCGGGACGAGGAAATGGACAGGGTTGGGTGCCTGTGGAATTGTCGGAGGGGCACGGAGTGGGTGGAAATGCTCACCTCTGTTTTTTTCCAGCTCTGCCTTCACATTCTACTGCCGAGGGCTTTTTGCTGGTCATGCGGCTCCCAGGTCATTTCTCGTAGCTTGCTACCCTCAGAACACAGGCACTGCAGGGAGCTCAGACTTGATCTTGGCTCTGTTCAGAGTCTTTTCCAAGGATAGGGGAATTTGGTGGCTCTCAAAACCCCTTTCAAGTGACTTTTAAAAGACCATTATTATTATTTTGACCAAGAGACCACTAGTTCTTGACCAGGGATGGGACCCAGGCCCCAGCGATGCCAAGCGCTAACCAGTGGACAGCCAATGGAATTCCCAAGTATTATTATTCTGACCCTTGTGTATGCCCTTCCTAGACACAGAGGACACTCAGGAAGTGCTTGACCCCTTTCCTTTCGCTCCTGCTTCTACCCTGCACCCCAGCAACCAGTCCGCGTCCTCTCCTCCCCCCCCCCCCCCTTCTTCCTCTGCGTCCTTCTTTCCCCCTCTTAATTTTCCCCCATATTCCTACCTGGGCATTTTCCCAGTACAGATCATTGTCTTTTTGACTTCCTTTTTAACTGTCATCTGTCTGTCTTGACATTTTACATGAAGGACAATTTTCTTCAAAGAGCTCGCTTCTTTAGAACACAGAGCGTGAGTCACTCTGAAGTGCCCTCCAGCTGAGTGATACCAGGGACCGGGCCTCTTCTAGCAGAGCAGTGTCTAAGAGTGTGTGAACCACGTTCATTTTTCTTAACCATATTTTAGTGCAGAAAGTTGGTTCTCTCTTTTTTTTTTTAAAGATGCTTAGCCCCACTCTAGTAAGCAAGTGTTTTGAGAGACCCATTGCAAGTACTTTTCATTTGAAGGACATTTCTTGGGTGCTGCAAGAATCAAGAACAGATGTAAGCCTGCTGTCAGATGGGCCTTGAGGGGAGAAAAAGCCGCAGATTTTACTAACGTCTGTGTACCCTTGGTCTCCTTCGTGCAACTGTTGACAAAACTCAGGGGGAATGTTTCCATGTGATGGGATGGACATTCTCTTGTCAACACACAAGAATGGTATGTCCCAAGTATGTTCTGGGAAACACTGTTTCTACCAGATATTTCTGGACACAGAGATTCTTTGGTCCCTGAGACTGGAAACCCAGAATTCTTTATCCTGTTGAAGTTTAAGTTTATCCATTAGCATACAAGAATCCCAGAAAGCTTTGACTCTAAAGAAACCAGTTTAATTTTATTCAGTCGCAGGTTCCTGCAATTCCTTGACTCTAGGTGGTGTGTTGGCTTGTTTGTGTATGTAGCTTACCCCTCCACCCTCCTGGTAGCCCCAGGTCACCTCCTTGGGTAGCTCTGTGCCAGTCGGGAACCAGCGTAGAGATGGAGGTCCTTGGGAATGAACACATGCCCTGTGCTAGCACACTGGCTCACTCTTCTGAGCCTGGGGATGGGACGAGAAAGCCTTCTCCTGCCTCCGAGGCCGTGTTGCTTGGTGAGTTAACCCTGCCCTCTTCTCGCACTGGCTGGCTTACAAATGCATGTTACCGCGTCCCTTCCTGCAGCAGACTCCTACCTGGATCCTGCTTTCTGCCTCGCGCGGCTGTCCTGTCTCCTGTTCTCCTGCGAACCCATTTCTCTACCATCACATCCCTCTGTTCCCCCGGTCCCTCCCCTCCGGGGGACACCCCAGATCCCTAAGGATGACGCTTTCGGCAAGATCACCAAGAACCCCAGTGCAGGGCCTCTTTGTCAACCTTCTCTTCCTGCTTCCATCTGCTCTGAAGCACGCGACCTTGACAGCCTCTCCTTCGGGAAACGGGCCTCCCTAACGGTACTGCACTCTGGCCCCAACACTCCTGTTCCTCCTCTCTTCGGCTACTCTCCACTCAACCTTTAAGGTGTTCCCACTCCCTGTCATGCTTCCTTCTCTGTCTACAGGCCTGCCTGTGGCAAGCTCATTCTCTTCACTTACTGCGTCTCTGTTCGTGACTCGGAGAGGTGGTGAATGTCCTGGTATGCAGGGAGGATGCTGGGTGCCAGCTGTGAGGATTTCAGCCTTGGCTTCATCACTTTCTAGCTCTGTGACCTTGAGGGAAGGACTTCTTTCTCTGTGCCTCAATGTCCCCATCTATGAAATGGACCTAATGTGAGTACCGACCTCATCGGGTGGTTGGTTGTGAAGACTAAATCAGAAAGTAAGTGGGAAGGAATGAGAACAGTTTCAGGTATGCCGTAAATGCTCAGTCCATACTGGCTGTTATCACCCCCGCCTGTCACCCCCTCTCTCATCTTTCTGCCATCAGATCATCTTCTTGACCCTTCTGCTTCCCTTTGGGGTGTTCAGATTCTCCTGGAACACCCCCAGGCTGAAGCTGCTGGGTCATTCTTTTTAACAGATCCTTCCATCCTCAAGTCTAAGCACAGTGAACGGATGGAGAGATGGATGGGCTGAAGAACAGTTAATTTCTCAGCAATGAGTTCACCCACATATGTAAAGAAACTTTCGGTGATTTAGTGCGTTCCCTACCTCTGCCATCTTAGAAGCCTCTCCTGTTGGTTCAGCCTTCTCCTGCCTTCTCTGTTTTTGCAGACATGTGGCCGTCCTGCTGACCCCACCCCCAGGCTTTCCCGTACCTCACCGGCTTCTCAGATAAAACCTTAGACTGAGTCTTGGGTCGTTCAGCTCACCTGCAGGAGGGCAAGGCACAGTGTCTTCAAACAGAGAAGACAGCTGAATTGATGGAAAAGTCTCTCTGTGCGCATTTTAAATGACAAAAACCACTGCAATGAAAAAAAAAAAAAAACCTCATAAGTAAAAAATAAAAAAATTAAAAAATAAATGACAGGGACAAAGCTAAAGTTTGCAAAAAGAATCTCGATCATGTAGTTCCTTTGTCTTTTAATGGATCGACCTGTGGTTCTTCTCCAGGAGCTGTGAAGAAAGATCCAGCCTTGGGCGGGAGTCGGGGAATGCTTCATTTCACACAGGTTGTACAGTGCCCTTCTTCCAGCTAATCTGCAAGTGCTCCAAGGACCCAAGGCCCAGCCTGTCTTGTTTGTTCTGAGCTGGTGTCGGGGCAGCAGGCTTGGGGGGCATTTGTGACTGACAGCAGGAGAAGCTTCAGCAGAGGTATGAGTAGGGAACCAGGTGAGGCCTCCCCTGGTGAAGGAAGGCTTCCTGGAGGGGAGGACACCTGTGCTGAGTCCTGAGAAAAGGCGAGCGGCAAGTTGACCCGTGTGGTCTCAGGGGCAGGGCGTGCCAGGGTGAGGCGGCGGGAAGGACGGCTCCCTGGGGCTGAGAGTTCCGGAGGCTTCGAGCCATCTTGGAGCTTGATGATGGGCGGGGCGGTGGCTGTGCTGAAGAGTTCGGACACTTTGCTGAGGGCGTTGGGGGCCACGCCAGCAGTTTAGGCTGAACACAGGGCCCCTCCCAGTGCTGCCGCTCTGCTGCTCCTACTCTCACCCGCCGCCATCCCTGCAGAGGGCTGCCCTGCCCTGGGATCGGATTCCACCTGCTTCCCCTGCTGGCTCAGGCCCGGGCGACTGGGCCCTGTCTTCCTCTCCAGCGGAGATGGCTGCGTGCAGCTTGCAGCCTTATTTGCATGTTTGATTTGGAATGGAATGCAGCATGTATTTGTGCGTGTATGTGGACTTATTCAAAGATACTTTTAAGATTTACTCATTGTTGAATGCAGGTGTGTTTCTTCCCCATGACTGCATAAGTTTCCATCTTTTCCTGTCTTCTCCTCTCTTGATTTATTCCCACTCACCATCCCATTGTCTTTTGGGATAATTTTTTTTTTTTATTGACTTTTTTTTGGCTGCACCACATGGCTTGCGGGATCTAATTTCCCTAACCAGGGATTGAACCTGAGCCCTTGGCAGCAAAAACTTGGAGTCCTAACCACTGAACTGCCAGGGAATTCCCTTGAATAATATTTTCAAAAATATTAAACATAATGGCATCATGACCATAAGAAAATCGGGCAACTTACATATATTGATTTAAACCTACTTATTATGTAATTAACCTATTATAAACATATTTATTGTCATCCTATAAAGGGAAAGAATTGAATTACAAAGGATTTTTTCCCCCAAAGGTAATAGTATTGATAAAAGGGTACAGAAGGAAAATGAACTCCCCCACCCTGCCTCTCCTGCGTCTGCTGTTGCCCACTTCTCCTGTGTCCTTCTGGAGATATACACATACCACTTTGTGCAAAGGTTACTTACAAACACAAGACCTTACGTACCCATAGACACATATACACATGGTCACATGTGTGCAATTGTGTGTGCATGCCTGCACCCCTACTGTGCACTCATTCCGTGTGTTACATGCCTGCGTGGCCAGGGTCATTTGACGATCTCCCCTGTCATGATGTACATATAAAGCTCCCTCATTCTTGTTTGTGGACCACACAGACTTACATTGTGTGGATGTTTAACCAGCTGCTCACAGTGGTATTTCGGCTATTTCTAATCTCCCTGATGAACAGGGCTGCAGTGACTAGCCCTGAGACACGTTATTTCTTTATCCGAGTGTATGCACACACAGTGAGCGTGTCTGTTGACGTTTCATAGATGTGGCCAACTTGTCCTCTGCAGAGACCACCTAAGAGGACCTGTTTCTTTTGCCTTTGTGGGATGAAAATGGGTACTTCACTGAAGAACTGTCCTTGTTTTTTGATGAACTTGGGTATCTTTTCATATTTTTAAGAGCCATTGAATTTCTCTTTGTATGAATGGTCTATTTGTTCTTTACCCATTTCCCTCTTGGGTTGGCTTTTTTGTTTGTTTGTTTTTTGATGCTAAACTTTTGATCATTTAACTCTCCTGGTTTGCTATATCCTGTACCAACTAATACAGCTTTTTGGTTGCAAAGTTGTCTATAATCGAGAGTTCAGAATGAGGGGTCAGGTAAAACTGACTTTCTCTGCCAGATGTTGATGATCAAAGGTGACCCTGGGAACACCTAACATCATGTGGCCATATTTGCATGTATTAAATACATGTTTTTCAGGTGATTTTGAGCCGGTGGCTGATGGTAAATGCATTGATAATTTTATTAGGCACAACCCTTGTGAATTAATTTCCTTCTTGCTTTTAACCAAAGGGTCATCAGGTGAAGGTGAATTTTTTTGTTGGTTAGTATGTTCTGTTTTCTTGGTCAATATTTCCATTCTAGAAAATGGTACAAGATAAAATATCTACTTTTTCTATAGATTAGCCTTGGGGTCCAAGTGTCCAGTAAGGTTCTCTGTTTTAACTGTTTTAACTTAGTAAATGTTTGATCCAAAACATGAATATTTCCAAGTGCTATTTTGCCACCTTTCTTAAAGGCATGTGCTTAACACAACACTTCTCAAATGATATTAATAGGTGTTCTGTGATATTTTTTTAAAATGTGCCCCTGGTCACATTAATTTTGAAAAGATTGGATTAAATAAAATTAAATAAGTCCTTTACTATAGGACTTCTCAGAGACTTTAATACACCAGTGGGTCCATTGAATGTCCAAGAGGAGGATGTTGGATACTGTGTTTCACAAATGTATTTGACCACAGAAACTGTTTTCACTTTTTTTTTTTTGGTTCTTAATTTTTTTTTGGTTCTTAATTTTTTTTTCATTTATTTTTATTAGTTGGAGGCTAATTACTTTACAATGTTGTAGTGGTTTTTGCCATACATTGACATGAGTCAGCCATGGATTTACCTGTGTTCCCCATCCTGCGTTTTCACTTTCTTTATGGTCTCTAATTGAACTGCGCCTCAAGCAGTTAGCATGAAACTCAGGAAAGTATCAGGGAAAGCAATTGGTTTCTTTTTCAACTGAAATTAGGCCAAATTTGTCTGAATTAGGCCAAATGAGGAACTCTGTTAGAAATAGTTATTTTGATTACTTGACAGTAATCAGATTTCTGAAATTAACTACAGATGCTGCTGTAGTTAAGCTCAGGGTGCAGCAGACGAAGACACCAGTTACTTTCTCCAAGCTCTCCAAGGTGTTATTCACAGTGTAAAATTAGGAGACCAAGGTCATTTCTGATAAACCTCCACTGCCCTACTTGAGGTCAGATACCACCTTCAGTCTGAAGCATCCCAATCAAACCGGGCTGGAGGTGAGGGGGTCATGTGGAGACAGAGGAACCGTTGGCTGCAGGACTTAATTATGAAGCAATTTTTTATTTTTTAATTTTATTTTTTACGAAGCAAATTTAAGGAGCCACAAGGGGGGCGAAGAATCCAGTGCATGAACAGGGAGGCTTATTCTTTCCTCTTGAGCACTTCTGACTTTGGTTTTTATCCCTTCTCATTGGTCATTTCTTCCTTTTTAAGGAATCTTAATTATTTTTCTTTTCAACCTTCCTGAGTTTTCAAATAGCAGTTCTCAGAGGTGTTCTAGAACACTGGTGACCAGGGATATGTCACGAGTCATCTGAGAGCCAAATGAAACCGTTAACAATTTGCAGATTACCATAAAATAGAATGAGGAGGGCATGGCAACCCACTCCAGTCTTCTTGCATGGAGAATCCCATGGACAGAGGAGCGTGGTGCGCTTCAGTCCATAGGGTCGCAAAGAGTCAGACACGACTGAAGCAACAGCACACACACACACACACACATTTTATAAACCAAGTAAAGGAGTTTGAAGAAATAATTTAACTTAATTTGGCTGTGACCTTGTGGGGCTCTGGGGTTTTTGTTCAGGCCATGTTTAAATGAGGATTTCTCTTTTAGAATCAAATGTTCTATGAACAGTGGTCAATTTATAACACGGGCATTGGTTTGCTCAGGCCGCTCTAACAAATTACCATGAACTGAGTGACTTGAAGTGTGTTATGTCACCGTCTGGGAAACTAGAAGTCTGAGATCGGTGTGTTGCGGTGTGTTGATTCCTTCTGAAGGCTGTGAGGCTTCCCTCACAGGTCTGTTCAGGCCTCACAGGTCTGTTCAGGCCTCTCTCCTTGGCTTGACTGTCTTCCCTCCAGGGGTATCTCTGTGTCCTGGTCCTTTTATTATAAGGACGACAGTCATATTGGATTAGGGTCCTCTCTAATGACCCCACTTTAACTTAATTGCATCTGAGTGACTCTGTTTCCAAATAAGGTCATGCTCTTGAGGTACAGGCTGGGGTTAGAGCTTTGATGTGTGAATCTAGGAAAGACATAATTCAACCCATAGCAACAGGCTAATTTTCTCTTTCTTTTTTAAAGACTGTACGTGGCAAGTCAAAGCCAATGATCGGCGCTTCCATGAACAACCTCAGTTTATGAACACAGTATTCTTTTGCATTAAGGAGAGCAAATATGCGGTAAGTTGATTTTAATCAGTTAGCTTTATTAAAAGCCAGTGTTTTTTTCCCCAATAGCCATGATGCTTACTTGCTTTATGTGACACCTACCTTTCAGGTAACCCCTGGCCGGGGGCCATTGACAGTCACTGTTCTCTAGAATGTCATTTTTTAAATTGAAGTATAGTTGATTTACAATGTTGTATCAGGGTCTGCTGTACAACAAAGTGATTCAGTTTATATATATATATATATTTTTTTTTTCTTTAAAAAATTCTTTTCCATCTGGTTTATCCCAGGACATTGAGTAAGACTTCGTTGTTTATCCACCCTATATATAATAGTTTCCATCTGCTAGCTCCACACTCTGAGTCCATTCTCCTTGGCAGTCACAAATCTGTTCTGTATGTCTGTGAGTCTGTTTCTATTTCACAGATAAGGTCATTTGTATCTTATTTCAGATTTCCTAGAATGTCCTTTTTTCTCATCACAGTAAGATGAACTACTCTAAGGGTGTATGGGGCAGTGTGAAACAAAACAAAGTTGATTGAAATTTTCCCTCTGAATATACAAAGCTCTTTTTAAAAAATTTTATAAAGGAGCATACAGTAATATCACAGATGCCTTGCTCTTTGACAGTAATAAGAATTTGAAAGGAATCTTGGTAACTTATCTCTCCATCCTTGGCCTGTGATGGATTCAGAGACTTTGAAGATATTTTCGCCCCAAAAATGCTTATTACCATTGAAATATAAAGAACAGGAGCCAAGTCTGGGCTGAAGTGTGGTCTGTTAGATTCCTGGGACTGTTCCACAGAATACTGCCAACTGGGTGGTGTAAAACAACAGAAGTTTATTCTCTTACAAATTGAAAAGGCCCGAAGTCTAAAATCAAGGGCTGATTCCTCCTGGGGGATCCACGGGAGAGACTGCTGCAGACTTCTTGGTTTCTGGCTGACAGTCCCGGATGCTCCTTGGCTTTACATCACTCCAGTCTCTGTCTCCCTGTATATTTCTCTGTGCCCAGTTTTCCTCTATGAAGGCCAGCAGGCCTAATCATTGGATTAGGCCTTATCCACCTTAATCCAGCATGACCTCACTGTAATTGATCACCTTGGCAAAGACTGTATTTCCTAATATTCGGTCGGCCAAAAAGTTCGTTCGGATTTTTCTGTCCCATCTGATGGGGAAACCTGAACTAACTTTCTGGCCAACCCAGTAAGAGGACCATCGCGGGTCACAGGGTCAGAACTTGAGTGTATCTTTGCGGGGCACACAATTCAACCCACACCTGTGTCTTTTACTCTTACACACCCTCCATTGCTTTTATAAGAATGTTCCTTTTCCGCCCATGTTGACCCTTCTCTTTACTGCTCATCTCTGCCCTGTTTTCTAAGAGGCCCTAAGAGATCAAGGAACCAACAGCAGGATCTGTTTGCTCACAGTGGGAGTTGCCAAAGAGGCCTTTGAGGTGAAATGTCTGTGTCTTGTGACTTTCTCTGACATAAGCCTCCAAGGCGTCATTTCTAGGCCCAGTTAAAAGTAAAAACTTAAAGAAAATCTCAGTATCTTTCAAACAAATTATATCCTTGTGTGTCTGTAGGCCACAGGACTGATTTTTGTGTCTGGGCTTCCCTGGTAGCTCAGCTGGTAAGGAATCCGCCTGCAGTGTAGGAGACCCTGGTTCCATCTCTGGGTTGGGAAGATCCCCTGGAGAAGGGATAGGCTACCCTCTCCAGTATTCTGGTCTGGAAAATTCCATGGACTGTATAGTCCATAGGGTCACAAAGAGTCAGACACAACTGAGTGACTTTCACTTTCACTTCATACATTGTGTATTGTGGTAAGTGTGGGACCGTTTAGAATGATTTTCTCATTTTTTCCAACAGAATAACGCAATTAAAACATACAAGTACAATGCGTTGACCTTTCTACCAATGAATTTGTTTGAGCAATTTAAGAGAGCGGCCAATTTCTACTTCCTGGTCCTTCTCATCTTACAGGTAATAATACCCTTTGATGTCTTAAATCTGTTTTGAATTACGATGACTCAGTAACGTTCAGGTTGTTAGTGTTTAAATTGTATATAAAATCTTGAAAGTTTTCTATATGGTCATCTGGGTTCTGGATGTAAGAGACTAATACCCAGAATCACTTCATGAACAGTGTTACATGAACACTGAACCTGAGCACATGCGAATGTTATTTTACTTCTGTATTTTAAAAAGTTCGGTTTCATACTGATGTCAAAGTTAAAACATACTGATGTCATTGTTAAAACTGGTTTTCCTGAAGTGAGTCAAGTTCAAATGTTCACTTTGTGAAACAGTTGTACCTTAAAATTAAATCTATTTTTTATGCTTGGCTTTTATTTTTTATTTAGTTGCCAAAAGGTTATTGACTTTTATTAGGATTTTGGTCGTAATTCTCATAATTATTTTATGACCTGGTTTTACACCAAAAAGGCCTATTTTTTTTTCTTTGCCTACCTGGGCAAGAAGTCCACTTAATCTGGAGGGCATTACTTTTATCTGTCTCGGAACTGTTTTACGATCAAAGAAACTATATACCCTCTAGTTGCCACTCAGAGTTTCCATCATTAGCACTTGATGTGCTGGTTTCAAAGGATGGCGTCTCCACTTGGTTTCATCAGATTCTTTATGTCAAGTGTATCATTTGGAAAATAGTCTCACCTGCTGGGATTCGCCCAATGTAGTTTAGTGAAACTGTAACCTGTGTGTCTAAGTGGAGATGGCGGATGCACAGGTGGAGGGAAGACGCAGGAGGGAGAACTAGACCCTCAGCAGGTTTAGTAGAACCTGAGACCTGCTCACTTGATCATAAGGGGTGGTCTTATCGAGCGGGACCTTAGGGACAGCCTCGTGTAGAGAGAAACACTGCTAAGTTTACAGTACTGCTGCATGATGAGTGGGCCACTTTCCCTTCCTTCGTTCTAGAAGGAAAAGGGGCGTTCTACCTTATTATAGTCACAGTAACGTGGGACATGAGCTTCCTCCCCCGCATCTCCCCACACCTTGGTTATCCTTCCTGAAGGCACAGAGGTCCAGGTGAGGATGCTGGTAACAGCCTTAGCCCTTTGCTCACACTCTTTCTTCACGTAATTCTTATAGTCTGCGAGATTAAGGATTGGGTTGGCCGGAAAGTTCATGTGAGTTTTTCTGTAATGTCTGTCTCTGTCTCTAGGCTCTGATCCAGGAAGCCAGAAGCTAGAGAGAGAGGCAGGAGAAGGGTTAGCTGGATGCTTCGGTTAGCTCCATGCCTGCTGTGCAGGATGCCAGCTGGATGATGGTGGAGATTAGGCTTAGCATCAGCGGTTGCCTGTAGCTCTGCTGTGTCTTCCTGGGCACACACGCCTGCCCTTTTTTAATCTCTTTCAGGCAATCCCTCAAATCTCAACCCTGGCGTGGTACACCACGCTGGTGCCCTTGCTTGTGGTACTGGGCATCACGGCCATCAAAGACCTCGTGGATGACGTGGTAAGGATTCCTCATGCAACTGCCTCCTTACCTCAGCAAGCGTATTTTCTAGTGGCATTCATAACTCGCTGTTTTGAGATGATTAAAATAACCTCTCCCCATCCCTCCTCTCAAGGCGCGCCATAAAATGGACAAGGAAGTCAACAACAGGACGTGTGAGGTCGTTAAGGATGGCAGGTATGCACCTTTCGGAGCTTGTGACTTTTCATCCAAGGGGGTAGCATACAAATGCATCTAGAAGCGACCTTAGAGGAACTTGGAAGTCTAACGGCACATTAACCTCTTCCTTGTAAAGGCCTCTCACCACTTCCGAAGACGAGGCTATCCCCAGGTTGCAGTCTAGGCAGTTGCCTTCTGGAGGTCTGTGTCCTCAGCCCTCCTGGGTTTCCTTCAGCCTGGAGTGTATGACTCCATCTCCGCTCTCCCCCAGCGATTTGTCCGAATGTCCTGAAACCCTTCCTGAATCCCCAGCCGCAGTGGTCTCTCCCTTTGCTGGGCTTGCAGAGCTTTTTGTTTTCATCTTTCTTGTTATGATCTGAGTTTTATTAGAATTAGTTGTATAGGAATCTCAAAAAAGAAGAATTATTTGTATAGGAATCTCATCATCTGCAGTATCTCTGAGGTCTGCCCATGGTATATTTTAAATTTTTTTAAGTGTTCATTTGTTAGACAGTCAAATGGGTATTTCCAGGAGACTTTAATATCAAAGGAAGCAATCTTTTTATTTTATTAATATTCTTATGAGATTTATTAGAAAATTGATACACTCATTAAAAAGATAAGTTTAAACAATAGAGAGGAGACAAGAACTAGACTTGGGGACTTCCCTGGCGGTCCCATGGCTAAGACTCCAGGCTCCCAATGCAGGGGACCCAGGTTCGATCCCTGGATCCCACATGCCACAACTAAGAGTCTGCATCCCACAGCTAAAGATCCTGCATGCTGCAATAAAGATCAAAGATCCCAAGCGCTGCATCTAAGACCCAATGCAGCCAAATGTGCATAAAAACTAAAGCATCATGAGCATTCCAGATGGCTATGTGGGATCCATAATGCTTCCCTCTCCTGGGAGCAGCAGGCGATGGATAGCTGAGTGGAAGGAAGCAGAATGACTGGGAACGTAGGACATGAGCAAAAACAAAGGTGTGGCGTGTATCTCCTTCCTGCACATTTAAGGAGCCCCCACTGACCCCCAATTATACAATGTAGAATGGAAAGGATCACAGCAAAGCTAGCGCCGCCTTTGTTTCTTCCTCCAGAGGAGAAGATGAGCCTCATGACCCCTTAATCATCAGCTGGCTGACCTTCCCCTGGGATGTGCATGTTTTCCCAGAATTTTTGGCTACCAGACAGCATCATCCAAGTCCCCTGCCAGTAACTTGAGCAGGGGACTGAGCTATCATTCTTTTCTACACTCAGGTTCAAAGTTGCCAAGTGGAAAGACATTCAAGTCGGAGATGTCATCCGCCTGAAAAAAAACGACTTCATCCCAGTGAGTGGGCTCGAGCTCTGCTCCCGCATTGCCTCCCCTTCCCTCTGCCCTGGCGTTCGGCTCTGCCTCAGGCGTGGCGGTCTGTGTTACCGGTGTGTTTCGTTTCAAACAGGCTGACATCCTGCTGCTGTCGAGCTCTGAACCTAACAGCCTCTGCTACGTGGAAACGGCCGAACTGGATGGGTGAGTGGGCCTTAGGCGGGCGGGTTGGGAAGCTTACCTGTGGAAGGCTGACCGTTGTTATGTGAAACTTATGCACTTGCACAGAAAGCCCTGAGGTCTGGCCTTACTTCTACCCCTGGACACCCAGCAGCCTCTCCTTAGGAGACCAGCCTCTCTGTCTTTGCCGTTTTCCCTAGTGAGTACCTGGTAGGACAAGCAGGAAGACAGCAGTGGTCTGACTCCCTAGTAGGCCAACTTCTCTGCCTTATTCTGTATTTGCGAGCCTGTCTTTCAGGGAAAGCAAAGCTCTGATGACAGAATGTGTGCCTGAGGCCTTTACCAGCTGCTGAGCAGTGTCAGACACTGACAAATGGCTGCTAGTAGCTATTTTGGGGGGAAAAAATAGTTTTTTAAAGTCTTTGCCAGTAGACAGTTTTCTCCCTTTGTTGGTTTTTATTACTATGCTACCACTTGAAAGGATTTTTTTTTTTACCATTTTGACCAGTTTTCAGTACATTTATGGAATACCTACTAGGTTGCAATAGTTTTACATGGTAGGTCATTTAATCCTTTTTTTTTTTAAGTTAAAAAAATCATTTTTATTTAGCTGTAGTGGGTCTTAGTTACAGCATGAGGGATCTTTAGTTGCAGCACGTAAGATTTAGTTCCCCAACCAGGGACCGAACCCAGGCCCGCTGCATTAAAGACGTGTAGTCTCAGCCACTGGACCACCAGGGAAGTTCCTCATTTAATCTTTTCAGCAACCCTATGAGATGTGTGTTATCACCTTGATGTAACTCGGGAGGAAACTGAGGCCCTGGAGGTGAGGTCGCCCACCCAAGATCACACAGCGGGTGGCAGAGTTGGGGCGCTGCTCCCCTCTGCTCACTCCCGAGGCTGCTGCCTGTGTTCCTCTCTTGGTGTCAGCCCCTTTCTCACACCCACAATGAGCATAAGCTTCTATGGAGAGCTGAGATCATCCGAGTAACAGCGAGGTCTGTCTTTGGTCTATAAATCAGTCGGTTGATCGTTCAACCTAAACTGTAAAACAGCTCTTATTCCCACAAGTGAGAGATCCTGAAGTTTTGCAAAGATATAAACTCCTAGTGTGCCCTGTCGGAGCAAACAGAATGGAAAGTTGAGAACTACGGGTCCAGTTCTTAGTAGATGGGAATCCCCAGTCGGTCTTCGGGGGGCTTGAAAACTGAACAAGCGTGGCTTGTTCCCCAGAGTGCGTGTGCCCAGTCTGGCCCTGGGGGTCCTCTTGCCTGTGTTTTGCCTTCCACTGTGTGCGGGGGATGCATGCTCAGTCCTGGGGGTAAGGTGACCACCTCCTTCCTTAGAATTCATCTTTCACAGATGTAGGATCCAGTTATTCACTCTGGGAAATATTAAGTTGATAGAGTCTTGACCCTTTCTGTGACAAATATGTATCCTAGAATTATCTTTGATTAAATGTTAGAAAGAAAGTTTTAAATAGTAGTTTGGTAGTCTGGGCTGGTGGTAAGAATTAAGTTAGGAAGGAGATAGGAAGCTTCTGGGAGCCTCAGGCCTACCCATGTTGCCTCATAGCAACAAACAGTAAAAGGGGGCCAGTGTTTCCTGGGTCAGGAGTTTTTCTCTTGTTCAGGGGATAACTTCATCCAAACCTGAAGTTCCAAGGAGAACAGAGAGTTTGAAAACAGAAAAGACTGATTATTTAGCTTTCACTTCCTGGTATACCTAATATTACTTAATACAGTGTTCTTCATATTCCTTTTCCAGCTCTGAAATTTGCTCATTTAATTCTTTTTTCCTTTCCCTTTAGAGAAACCAACTTAAAGTTCAAAATGGCACTTGAAGTCACACACCAATATCTCCAAGAAGAGAATTCATTGGCAGCATTTGATGGTTTGTGCAAACGTGTCTTTTTGTTGTTGTTTAGTCACTAAGCTGTGTCCGGCCCTTTGCAGCCCCGTGGGCTGTAGCCCGGCAGGCTCCCCTGTCCATGAGATTTCCCAGGCAAGAATCCTGGAGTGGGTTGCCATTTCCTTCTCCAGGGCATCTTCCCGACCCAGGGATCAAGCCTGCGTCTCCTACATTGGCAGGGGGATTCTCCACCACTGAGTCCCCAGGAAAACCCTAACTTGTCTTACTTTGTATTGAATTTTCATTGCTTGGTTCAGTCTGTATATTAATTAAAACCAGAAAATCTTTCATATGTGAGCACTTATGTGAATCATATCTCTTTTAAAAGGTTTTATTGAATGTGAGGAACCGAATAACCGGCTAGATAAGTTCACAGGAACACTATTTTGGAAAAACACAAGTTTTCCTTTGGACGCTGATAAAATTTTGTTACGTGGTTGTGTCATCAGGAACACCGATTTCTGCCATGGATTGGTCATTTTTGCAGGTACTTTTGAAGTCTCTTGGGAAATTGATCTGTAGGCTCATTAAAGATGTAAATGAGGAAATTGATTGTCCTTTCTCTATTGAAACCCAAGAGAATTATTTTATTGACATGCTAGTGAATTGATTTTCCCAATCGTTGATCAGATTGAATTATCCATTTCTAGGTGCTGACTCTAAAATAATGAAGAATAGTGGGAAAACCAGATTTAAAAGAACTAAAATTGATTACTTGATGAACTACATGGTCTATACGGTATTTATTTTCTGTTTCGGTAGATTGCTATCTTTTGTTCTAGTTTTCTTGTATGTTTTTCTATTGCAAAGAAATTTTACCTCTGTGGGCCAAGTAGAAAAATTCACAAGGTGGAGGAGAAGAGATTCCCTCACCTTTTCTCAGAAATGCCACATTTCTAATAGGAGAATCTCTTTGGGAATGTGAATCCCAATTGTAGGGTACCCTGAGTTGATACCTGAGTTGCTCACCCTATAGAGTCATCAGTTGGGAAACTAGGGAGTCTTAGATAGACTACGTCCCTGAAGTCAATGTAGGATTGATTTTACTGCTGTTAATTTCCCATAGGGATAGTTCTCTTAAAAGCAAACCTTTATCCCCCCAAATATACTGTGTAAGTCCAACTATAAGGCAAGTTTAGTGTAAGGTGAGTCAAAGGTCTGTCTCCAAGACCACTCCCAGCATTGATGATTCATGAGGAGGACTTGAATTCAGTCTATAATTGTTCTCATAGTTAGGACTTACTATGATAAGTATCGCTTATTACAAAGCAAGATAGCAAAGGAAGAAGGTTCATGGGGCAAAGTACAGAGAAAACCAGGGGTGAGCTTCCAAGAGTCCTCTCCCAGTGGAGTCACTCACAACAGACTCACTGAATCCTCTCAGCGACAGTCCGCATCAGCAAGTGTGAAAGGTTGGCTCTCCAGGAAAGTTCACTAGAGACTCATTGCCTGGGTTTTATTGGGGTCTGGCCATGTAGGCACTGTCTGCCTGGCGTGTGCCAAAATTCCAGACTCCCTAAAGGAATCTGGGTAGTCGGTATAAACCATTGTTTTACACAAATAGTTGGGCATAATGAGTCATTCTTATCAGAGAATAAGGAATAAGGAACCAGGAAGCCCTTCCAAGATCTGTTTCCTGTTGCCAGCCAACGGCCCACTGTGCAAACAGGCCTCTAAGGGTGGCAGGCTTAAACCTGCTGTGTCCGCTCTTCTGCACATAGAGTGGCCCTAAATAGTAGACAGTCCTCCAACTCCCCAGTAAGGCCTTTTTTCAAGTATTTAGTTTTGATGTGTTCACGAGAGGAGGTGATGTCCCTGTCTGTCTACTCCAGCATCTTAACCAATCTGACCCAGGTTAATTTGAACACAAAACATTTTAGGGACTTATAATACTTCCAGTACTTTTATATGGTCAAAAGCATATAATAGCAATGTGTTAATTTAAGAAAAAATTCTTTTTTCCCTGCTCTCACATTCCATGAAATCTTCATTGGAGCTTTTCTGGTGCATCTTCCATGTCACTGTCTTGGTTATGGCTGGGCCCTCACAAGGAGTTTGTCATCTCTCCTCTGTGCCAAGTTCTTTTGAAATACAGTGCTTTTGTAATATGTGCCCAGACATTTAAATTTGCCTTGGAAATTTTCTTCCTCCTCACAGATGCCCAGTGTTTGCAGTTACCTTAAATACCCAAATAGCCCTAGGGCTGTTGAATTTTTAATTCATTCCTAAGGTATATACTCAGTTTCCACAACAGAATACTTATTGTATTGCTTCTTAAAGGATCTTAAATGTTAAGTGATCGTTAAACCTTCAGGAATAATTACCCAAATTTGCGTAAAATTTCCTTGCCTTCTTTTTTTTTTAAAATCATTTCCATCAAACATTTTCTATACGTGTCCCAATTTAGCCTTCTTTGAAATTTTTCATGCTAAAGTAAGATTATCTTCCCCAAACATTATGTTATTGCTCAAAGGAAAAGTTGTTGAGATAATGTTCCATGTTATGAGAATGTTTAAGGATTTGAATATAAAATACCACCTTCTCTTCTGAAAGATAATTTTAGGAATAAAACCTTACCTTGTATATGGAAGGTAGGATAAATTAATCAACCACAGAAATAAATAGGCTTTCAAAGCATTCTTTCTCTTTATCCACCTTTTGGCCATGCCACATGGGGCATACGGGAGCTTAGTTCCCTGAGCAGGGGTCGAACCTGCGCCCCCTGCAGTGGAAGCACAGAGTCTTAACCACTGGACCATCAGAAAAGTCCCCTCAAGGTGTTGTTATGGCAGTGTTTCTATTTTAAGTGTGTTTGTTGTTGTTCAGTCACTAAGTTGTGTCCAACTCTTTGTGACCCCATGGACTCTGTCCTCCCCTGTCTCCCAGAGTTTGCTCATATTCATGTCCATTGAGTCAGTGATACTGTCTAACCATCTCATTCTCTGCCATCCCTGTCTCCTCTTGCTTTCAGTTTTCCAGCATCAGCATCTTTTGTGTTGCTTTACAGAGTACTAAATTATTACACACATGTAAAGTATTGAGTAAAGTAAATCAGCGTCTATACAATGCATGGGATTGGGAATGTGTCCTTAGAGTTAAACCTAACCATTGTGTGTCTTTCAGATCTTTGTTGTTCTCATCTTGCTTTCTGCGGGTCTTGCCATCGGCCACGCTTACTGGGAAGCTCAAGTTGGCAATTTTTCCTGGTACCTCTATGATGGAGAAGACTCTGCGCCCTCCTACCGTGGATTCCTAAATTTCTGGGGCTACATCATTGTTCTCAACACCCTGGTGCCCATCTCTCTCTATGTCAGGTAAGACTGTCTTCTCTTTGGCCTTCTGCTTTAAGAGAAGATCTTGGTACACCTTGCCAATTCAGCATGTTCAATTTTAGCAATACTTGTTTTAAAGGTCATAAAGAACAAATAAGAAAAGAGCTTTCACTTCAGAATTGAGGGTGATCCGGGCAAAGGGAACTAATACTGCGTGTCTGCCCTGTGCTAGGCACAGCATCTTGTATCTTGACCTCTTGACAGATAAAGCTACTGGAGTTCAGAGGTCAGACTCTACTCCTGCAGTCACTTTCTTGGCAGGACTCCTTCTGACTGGGTTCCAAAGCTCGAGCTCAAGCATCAGAAAGAGCTGGATGAAGATTTAGAGTGTCACGGAATAACTTAGTTGTTGTCCGTTTCAGGGGCCGTCCTAACCTCTTTTCTGAGTCTTCTCTATTACCACCTGCTGTACCTCCAGCCTGTAAAACGCGCTGGGCTTCCTGAGTGCTGCCTTCCCTGTTTGGCCTCTCAAAGTGTTCTCTTTCTCATCTCAACCCCAACTGTGGTAAAAGGGTAATAAAAGAGGGTCATATTTCTGACAGATGGTCATCACCTTGTTTTCTGATACTTCTTCCTTTTTTTACTTTTTAAATATCAAGTTTCACTGTCTCTGGTCAGTTGAACTTTAGACCACTGGGAGAGAAATTGTGCCTTGAAATATACCCAGCAGCCAGAGTCAGCTCTTGGTTCCAATAAGTAATAGCCCAGAGGCATATAGGACTACATGCAAACCTGTAATTAGAAGCATTTGTTTTATTTTAATTTTATTACATGTGCATTTGTTTTATTTTTAATTTTATTAGCTGTAGTTACTATTGCTCTTTTCACATGAAGTAAAGCCCTGGGAAGCCATGTGTTTGCAGTTACTCTGAAAAAAAAAAATAACTGAGATGACTTCCCTTTGTTAGGGGAATTATTATACAGACTGTTTTGTCTGTATCTGTATGTATGTATTAGGGCTTTTCTGGTGGCTCAGATGGTGAAGAGTCTGCCTGCAGTGCTGGAGACCCGGGTTTAATCCCTGAGTCGAGAAGATCCCTTGATGAAGGAAATGGCAACCCACTGCATTGTTCTTGAATGTAGAAGTGTTAGCTCCTCAGTCCTGTATGCCTCTGTGACCTGCGGACTGCATCCCACCAGCTCCTCCGTCCATGGCATTCTCCAGGCCAGAATACTGGAGTGAGTTGCCATTCCCTTCTCCAGGGGGTCTTCCCAACCCAGGGATTGAACCTGGGTCTCCTGCATTGGAGGCAGACGCTTTACCATCTGAACCACCAGGGAAGCCCCTGGTATTCTTGCCTGGAGAAGTCCATGGACAAAGGAGCCTGGCGGGCTACAGTCCATGGGACCACAAACAGTTGGACATGGCTGAGCGACTGACCCTTTCACACATGTATATTATACATAAACCATATATGGAGTTTTAGGTTTTAAAAAGTCATGTCATGTGATTAATATGATTTATTTTGTTGGTTTGTTTCTCTTGGAAGTGAAGGTCCTTTTGAAGCATAAGTCAGTCAGGTCATTTCAGATAGTATCTCTGTTCTGCTTTTAGCCCCACAGTGGCTTTCTGTCTCATTCAGAATAGACCCACCAAGGTCACACTGTGCTCACAAGGCCCATGGGACCCACCGCACTCCCCTGCATGCCCCGTCTTGACCTCCACCCACTCCCCAGGCTCCCCCACCTTGAGCCTCCTTGAATGTCTCAGCAGTATCAGCACCTGCCCCAGGGCCTTTGCACTTGCTCTGACCTCTGCCTGGAATATATTTTCCCCTCCATATCTACATGGTTGCTCTTTCATTTCCTTGAGATCTCTGCTCAAAGTTCACCTTATACCCCGGCTATTCCTGGCCCTCTCTGTCTTCCTCTGCCTGTCGGTCTCTATCTCTCTTCACAGTGCTTTGATTTTCTGCAGACAATTCTCACCATCTAATATAGTATATGTTTACTTGAGGGCAGGGATTTTTGTCTCTTTTGTTGATTGATGTATCCCGCTAGGATGATGTCTGGTAATACTAGGCACTCACGGAGCATATAAGGGAGCAGAGAAGAAGGGAGTTATTTTTCCATCTGTTTAGTTCCATCCTTTACAGACATCCTTTGCCCACTGAACAGTGGCTGGATGTGTAAGCACCTTCCTTAAAACTGAGATAGATTTAATCAGTTATAGTTTTCAAGTAGGAATGATCCTTTTAGAGTACTGTATTTTGGACATTCTATAATCTTATAGGAGTTTAGGACTATAAACAAAATAGACTTCCCTGGTGGCTCAGATGATAAAGAATCTGCCTGCAATTCAGGAGATGGAGGTTTGAGCCCTGGGTTGGGAAGAGAAGGAAATGGCAACCCACTCCAGTATTCTGGCCTGGAGAATTAGAGGACCTGGTGGGCTTCAGTCTGTGGGGTCCCAAAGAGTCGGACACGACTAAGCGACTAACACTTCCACTCACAAAATGGATAAACGACAAGGACCAACTGATTAGCACAGGAAACTATATTCCATATCTTTTAATAACCTCTAATGGGAAAGAATCTGAAAAAGAAATATATATATATATATGTACACGTTCCTCAAAAAATGTGTATTGCTGAATCACTTTGCTATATACTGGGAACTAATACAACACTGCAAATTAACTGTACTTCAATTAAAAAATGTTTAAAAAAAGAATTGATTTTTTAACAGTGTGAAATGACAACTTATGGGTTATTTGCCAAAAGTCTTAGTGCTACTGGAGATCACACAGGGGTGCATAATCTAGTGACTCTCACTCCTTTTGCCTCCAATTGAGGGCAGAGTTGAACACACCTTTCCGTCGTCCCTGGGTGCGATGGGGACCGAGAGAAGAGGGTAGAAATAATGTCCCATGGCGGGATACCTCCTGCAGAGTTAGCTACCTTGTCACCCGCATGGGTTGTATGTTCTGAACAGAGGCTTCCGTGGCTGGATGTGCTCAGGAGTTTGTAGGAAATCACCTCAAGAGGACACTTTGACCTTGAAGCAGGAGAAAGATGTGTTTGGTCAGGAGAACCTGGAGGCTGGGCACAGGGCTCCCTGCAGGGCTGGTCTCCCTGTGGATAAGTAGCTTGCTCCTATTGCAAATCTACTGCCTGCAGCTCATATCTGAGAGCTCCATCGAAAGTAATCTTTTATCTTGCTAGTGTGGAGGTGATTCGTCTTGGCCAGAGTTACTTCATCAACTGGGACCTGCAGATGTACTATCCTGAGAAGGACACACCCGCGAAGGCGAGAACCACCACGCTGAATGAGCAGCTCGGGCAGATCCATTACATCTTCTCGGACAAGACAGGGACCCTCACGCAGAACGTCATGACCTTTAAGAAGTGCTGCATCAACGGGCAGATTTACGGTGAGAAGAATCTGTTACTCTGTCTCTGGACGTGTGTGACCAGAGGCTGCCTCCCTGGAGTGGTCCTCTGCCAGTGCAAAGCTCTGATGGTTATTCTTGAGGTTTCTCAAGCAGCCTCACTGGTGCACTGAGACCAAACATGTGAGGAGGTCAGGAGTCAGAATTAGGTATATTTTCCTCAAAAAGTTAGCTTGCCATGTGACCCAGGAAGTTTGCTCCTGGTTACACAGCCAAAAGAACCAAAAGCAGGGACTCAGACAGGTATTTGTACATCCATGTCCATAGTAGCATTATTCAAAATAGGGAAGGTGTAGTAGTAACTTAGAGTGTCCATCAGTGGATGAATGGATAAGGAAAATGTGATATGTACACACAATGGAATATTATACAGTCTTGAAAAGGAAGGAGAATGTGACACATTATGACATGAATGAACTTTGAGGAATGCTATGTGAAATAAGCCAGACACAAAAGGAAACATTTGGATGATTCCATTTTTTTGAAGTATCTGGAGAAGTCAAAATCAGAGAGCTAGAGAGTAGAACGGTAATTGCCAGGGTTTAAGGGAAGAAGGGAATGAGGAATTAGTGTTTAGTGAAAATAGCATTTCGTTTTCACGGATGAAGGAGCCCTCGAGATGGATGGTGGTGAAGGCTGCATAGCAGTGTGATTGCATTTGATGTCACTGAAGTGTTTGTTTAAAAACAGTTGGGATGAAATTCCCTGGTGGTCCAGTGATTAGGACTCTGTACTTCCACTGCTGGGGGCCTGGATTCGATCCCTTATCAGGGAACTAAGATCCCACAAGCCTCGAGGCATGGCCAGAAAACAAACAACGAAATAGTTGAGATGGTAAACTTTGTTTTTCATCACAATTATATTTAAAAAATTGATTCCCATTCTAATATTCTGAAATGTGCTATATACTTGTCAAAATAACAAGGCTAGTGCTGCATTCAAAGTGGATGCCCCTAACATTTAAATATTTAAAAACAGTATAATTATTTTAAAAGCTATGAGAACATCATGAACTTCCCTCTTGGAGGAAACGTTTTGCTGTGAGCTGTACGTTCACAGAATGTCAGTGAGGAAGGCGGGATGCTGAGGGCTTGAGGAAGGGGCTCTGCCATACGTGGTGGTTTCTTCTCAGCTGGGGGAGGACGGGGGTAAAACCCTTCACAGGACGTGGTCCTGGCCCCAGAGATCACAGTGCAGGGGGACATGCGCGTCAGTATGTGAACCTCTAGACCAGCGGCCAGCAAACTTTGTTGGTTAAGGGCCAGATAGGAAATATTTAAGCCTTTTCAGGCCACATATGGTCTGTATCAAGTAGTCTCCTTTGTTATGCTTTGTCTGTTTGTTGACAACTCTTGAAAAATGTGAGAACCATTCTTAACTCAAGGGCTGCCCAGACGGGCTATGAGACCCGTTGATTCAATTTGTTTTGTCCTGTTTGTTCCCAGGAGACCATCGAGATGCTTCTCAGAACAGTCACAGCAAAATAGAGGTGAGTCCTTTCACTGACGAAGTCGTCTGGGGGTGTGTATGACTCTCCTGGGCTGTGACAAGCTCCCATAGAATAGGTGTCTTACAGTAATAGGAATGTATTCCACACAGCTCTGGAGCCTGGAAGTTTGAATGGAGGAGTCAGCAGGCCCACCCTCCCTCTGGAATCTCTGGGGCAGAATCCTTGCCTCTTCCTAGGCTCTGGTGCTTGCCTGCAGTCCTGGGCACTTGGCTGGCACACACATTACTCAGAAGTCTGCCTCTGTCATCACATGGCCTTCCTTCTCCCTGTGTGTTTATGTCCAGATTCCCTTCCTTTTATAAAGATGCACTCAGTGGATTGTGTGCGTGTGTGCTGTGTGTGTGCTCAGGCATGTCTGACTCTCTGTGACCCCATGGACTGTAGCCCACCAGGCTCCTCTGTCCATGGGATTCTCCAGGCAAGAAGACTGGACTGGGTTGCCATGCCCTCTCCCAGGAGATCTTCCTGACCCAGAGATCAAACCCACATTTCTTGAATTTCCTGCATTGCAGGTGGACTCTTTACCATTGAGCCCTGGACCAGCCCCTAGTCACTAGATTAGGGTCTCTCTAATCCATTTAACCTCATTTTTTTTTTTTTTTACATTCGGGTATAGTTGATTAATAATGTTGTGTTAGTTTCAGGTGTACTAGAGTCATTCAGTTTTATATATATATATATATTCATGTATCTATTCTTTTTTCAAAATCTTTTCCCATTTAGGTTATTACAGAGTATTTAGTATAGTTCCTTGTGCTCAGTATAAACTTCCTCTTGATTACATCTACCAAGGCCTTATTTCCAAAGAAAGTCCTATTCCCAGGTACCAGGGGTTAGAACTGCAACATATCTTTTTTTGGGGGGGACACAGTTTGACTCACACCAGGCTGTGTTAAAACAGATAGGAAAAAAACAACGGATATGAGCCTCTTGACACTTCAGAACATATTAAAATCCTAGTGAAGTTTGCATGAAGACACAGCTTCCAAGAAGAGGTCCTATCATTTGTGAAGCCTGGGTCGTCTGTTTTAAATGACCATTGTTCCTTCTCGATTTCCTTCAGCCAGTGGATTTTAGCTGGAATACGTTCGCCGATGGGAAGCTTGCATTTTACGACCATTATCTCATTGAGCAAATCCAGTCGGGGAAGGAGCCAGAGGTGCAGCAGTTCTTCTTCCTGCTGGCAGTATGTCACACGGTCATGGCGGACAGGCTCGATGGTGAGTGTGGCCATCGCGGCCTGGACACCGGAGACCAGTTTTTTTTTTTTAGTTGACAGGGAACTCATGCTTGGGACTCAAATGCACATGAAGAGTTGTGTGAGCTAGAGGTGTTTGAGTTAGGTTTCCATTCCTGACACATCTTCATCTTATACGCCAGAGAAGTACATGGCTTATGTGGCATCCTCCAGGGGGACTTGCCGTCTAGATCCTGGGTTTTATTTCCTATAGGCAGGTCTTTGCCATAGATATCCTGCAAAAGGCTTGTCGGATGTAAGGCTTATTCTTCCTAGCAAATGTCATTGGTCTGTTTACCCAGAAGGCTAGTGGACAAGACAATTAGACCAGGTCACCGACTCCTTTCTCCCTGCACATGGAGAAAAGGATTGAATGGGTAGAAGCCAACTGTCGTGAAGTCCTTCACAGAACTCAAACACCCCCAAATTAAATGACTTCTGAAAATTCCCGTCTCAACTTGGTGAAATTTAAACTTTAGAATCGAAGGGTCATGTGAATTATGAGGTGCATCAAGTAAATTTCAAATGATTGCAGTCTGAATCCACATATCATATTGCAAATGATTGCTAAATCAATTAAGAAATACATATATAATAAGGCATGTGTATATTTACTGTAATAATAACAATTACTGTCCAAAGGAAGAATAAAAATAGAGTTGTGTGCATGACAAGTTTGTCGAATCTCCACCCAAGTGATGACTATCTGTGGGCCCCTTGCACTGTATGGCATAGGAGCCAGCAGACCATGAAACAGGCTCCTGGCCTTTGGAAATATTCGTCTCCTTCGTAATTCTAGCTCCAGATGTGTGTATCACTTTGGAACTTTATATCAGCAAAAATTTGTTCTTTTTTTTCTTTTTTACTGTGACTGACTCTTGCATTATAAACAGAAGAATCAAAATCTTTTCACTATCTGAGGACTTCATATTTATGGAGGGTGAAGAGTCAAACCTTATCTGGATCGTAAGTGGACTTTAAACTTGGACAATCTTTTACTACAAAATAATTTTAGAGAGAATTGTTTTCTAGATTCAGATATGTTTGGCATTTGAAATAATAGCCGCCAAACCTAGGCCTCCTGAAGGTACCTTTTTGATCTGAAGGCGTGTAATTCATATGCTTTTGCATGGGACGTTGACGTGTAGGTTCCTCTGCAGAATTCTTTGTTTTGTTGTTAACTTTTAAAGAAAATTAAAGTATAGTTGGTTTATAATGTTGTGTTAATTTCTGCTGTATAGCAAAGTGATACACATGTATATACATTTTTATGTTTCATAGTGTTTTCCATTATGGTTTATCATAGGATATTGAATATAGTTCCTGGTGCTATGCAATCAGACCTGGTTGTTTATCCATCCTACAGAGCAGTTTGTACCTGCGGACCCCACAGTCCCAATGCATTGCTCCCCCATACTCCCTCTGCCTCAGCAACCACAAGTCTGCTCTCTCAGTGGATCTGTTCCTGCCTCCTGGATATTTTCATGTTGTATTTTAGATTCCACATGTACGTGGTACCACATGGTGTTTGTCCTTCTTCCGACTGACTTCACTTAGTATGATACCCTCTGGGTCCATCCATGTTCCTGCAAGTGGCATGATTTCATTCTTTTTTGTGGCTGAGTAGTATTCTGGTGTGTGTGTGTGTGTACACACCACATCTTCTTTATCCATTCATCTGTCAGTGGACATTTATGTTGTTTCCATGTCTGCAGAATTCTTAAGTGCAGCTTGTACCAGCTTTGTCACAGCAGGATGATCCAGTATCAATGAAAGCTGGTATCTTATCACCTGTTCACACACTGGCACATTACATAGGTACATATGTGCGTTCTGGAAAGGGCCAAAAGCGCTCCTTTGCTATGTGCATTCTCCACTTTGGGGCTTCCCTGGTGGCTCAGATGGTAAAAAAGCTGCCTGCAATGCAGGAGACCAGGATTTGACCCTTGAGTCAGGAAGATCCCCTGGTGAAGAGAATGGCAACCCCCTCCAGTATTCTTCCCTGGAGAATCCCATGGACAGAGGAGCCTGGTGGGCTACAGTCCATGAGGTCACAAAGAGTCGGACCCATCTGAGTGACTATCACTTACTTATTCTCCACTTTAATCAGCTCAGCATATGAACAAATGTCCTTTCTGGTTTTCTGATTCTGAGGTTTCGTGTGTAGAGGATGAAATCTTCAGAGGAGAAATAGACATAAAAAACTACATGTATAGAAGCTATGTGTATACCTTGCAGCAAATTTCGAAGACACTCATTCTCCAAGGATGAATTTAATTGTGCAATAAAGCTGAGATAACAGCAGAATTCTGGTTGGGGTAGATACATGGAAGGGGCTATTAACAGGCCAGACCAGGGAGATAGAAAAGGGTAAGATCATGTCACGAATAACTGAAGCAGAGGTCAAAATCTGTTTGACTAGCTAAGCACATTTTACTCGTATGATAAAAATCAAGTATGATATTTTTAAGCAACTGGGTTCTCTTAGTTTTTGGCTCATTTGTAAATTTATTCTACTTTTTTTTTTTGGAGTGTGTGGTGGTATTATTTTGAAAGCTAACCTGCCAACTTAAGCAAATGTGTATACATCTAAGGTCTCCATTTCCTTCTCTCTCCACTGGGATCTCATGGGAAGAGTCCTGGGTTCTGTGCTGGAGGTGGACCGTCGCCATCTGGGTTCTTGCCATAACACACAGGACAGACCAGCATTTTCTGTTGGGCAGCGGCTTCCTGCGTGTCGCGGGAGGAGGGCTGGAGTTCAAAGTCCTTTCCAGCCTGATATGGTGCAGCTCTTTGTCCCACTGTCCTCCGCGGCAGAATTGTACACCTTGAGGCATCCTCCCCCACGCAGCACATCACAGGCAAATTGCTGTGGATGCTGAAAGTGGAGGCGAGTTGGATTTTGAAGCACAGGAAGGAGAGACTGATTTTGGCTCTAACTGATAAAAGCACCTTGAAAGGGTCCATGGGAAAGGACCTTGGGGATAACTCCTCCCAATGTTACAGCTGAGGAAATTCAGCCCCAGAAAGCACCCAGTACCTCCCTGAGCTTGGATGACGGGTTAAAACTCATTTTAGCTGAGTCCTCTCGCTCTGCCAGACTGGCGCGCCTTTGCTTTCCACTCTCATTTTCCCGCTTTTATAAAAGTGGAGATTGGCTCTTCGGTCATTATGCATAATATGAGCAACGAGGGGACAGAATTCTTTCAGGCACACTCAGCAGACAGTGGGTGTGGCCCACTTGTTGAGTATGTGTAGGAGGGCACGTGGAGGCTGAGTGTGGAGCAGCTGTGTTGGTTTTCTATGGTTCTACGCTAGATTCCCCACAACGCAGTGGCTTGAATCATCCATTCCTTCGCTCACAGCTCTTTAGATGGGATGTCTGCGCAGGGCATGACGGGGTTCTCTGCCAAGGACCTCCCTAAAATCCAGGTCCGGCCACTCTGTCGTCCAGAGATCAGCAACGTCTTCCAAGCTGAGAGCAGGATCCAGTGCTCTGGGGCCGCAGGACTGAGGTCTCCGTTTCCTTGCTGGCTGTCAGCTGGGGCTGCTCTCTGCTCCCACAGGCCTCTCTCTCTTTCCTTGCCTCATGGTTCCCCCTGTCATCAAAACCAGCAACCGAGAATCTCCCTCCCATCAACCCCTTTCATGCTTCAATCTCTCTGTCCCTGGGAAGAAGCCAATCCCTTTTGAGGACTAGGCTTCCCTGGTGGCTCAGCTGGTAAAGAATCTGCCTGCAGTGTGGGAGACCTGGCTTCAATCCCTGGGTTGGGAAGATGCCCTGGAGAAAGGAAAGGCTACCCACTCCAGTATTCTGGCCTGGAGAATGGGGTCTCCATGGACTATGGTCTCAAAGAGTCGGACATGACTGAGCGACTTTCACTTCACTTTGAAATTAAGTGAACACTTGGCTCCTTGGAAGAAAAGCTGTAATCAACCTAGACAACATATTAAAAAGCGGATACATTATTTTGCCAACAAAGATCCATCTAGTCAAAGCTATGGTTTTTCCTGTAGTCCTGTATGGATGTGAGAGTTGGACTATAAAGAAAGCTGAGTGCAGAAGAATTGATGCTTTTGAACTGTGGTGTTGGAGAAGACTCTTGAGAGTCCCTTGGATTGCAAGGAGATCCAATCAGTCCATCCTAAAGGAAATCAGTCCTGAATATTCATTGGAAAGACTGATGCTGAAGCTGAAACTTCAATACTTTGGCCACGTGATGGGAAGAGTTGACTCATGGGAAAAGACCCTGATGCTGGGAAAGATTGAAGACAGGAGGAAAAGGGGATGGACAGAGGATGAGATGGTTGGATGGCATCACCCACTCAATGGACATGAGTTTGAGCAAGCTCTGGGAGTTGATGATGGACAGGGAAGCCTAGAGTGCTGCAGTGCATGGGGTTGCAAAGAGTCGGACATGACTGACTGACTGACTGACTGACTGGAACTGAACTGACTGAACTTGAGACTAACCCAATTAGTTTAGGAACACTCAGATAATCTCCTTATCTTACAGTCAACAGATTTGGACCTTAATTATATCTGTAAAATCCCTTCCCAGCAGTACCGTGATAGAGTTTGCTTGAATAACTGGGAGAAAGTGTGTGTGTACATAGGGTCAGGGTGCGGGCCATCATAGACTCCTGCCCTTGCAGAGGCCGAGAACAGAGTTTGAAAAGAAAGAAGAAAGAAAGAAAGTGATGTCACTCAGTAGTGTCTGACTCTTTGTGAGCCCATGGACTGTAGCCTGCCAGGCTCCTCCGTCTGTTGGATCTTCCAGGCAAGAATACTGGAGTGAGTTGCCATCTCCAGTGTTTGAGAGGCTGGGAGACATTGTTTTCTTCTGAAGGCCTGAAGTATGGATGCACCATGAGAGCTGAGGTTTAGAAGTTTGGAGCCAGGACACATCAAATCAGTAAAGAAACTTAGGACCTGGATTAGTGGGAGTCTTTAGGAAGGACGAGCAAGTTACAAATGAGGGAGATATTCAGTCTGAGAGTTAACTCGCTTTAAGACTGGTGACTAGAATTATCAGCCAGAGAAAGCTATGCAATCAGGATAATAAGTAGTGGGGTTTGTTGTTTGAGCATCTTTTTTATTTGAATCAGTTCCGTGATCCACAAATTAGCTTGTACAAGAAAAGAAAGTCTCTTTGGTTGTGTCTCGGTGGGGGGTAAATAGTGAGTTTTCTTACGGGAAAGGTTTCAGGGGGTTGATTTTTAGTTCGGGTTTCCTCCTGCAAACACTAAGTTGGAGTTTGGACCAGATCTCTGAAGTCCCTCCCGTCTCTGTTAGTCAGCAATTCTGAGTCCACTACTAGAGCAAAAATGGGAGGGTTTTCTTTTCATGATAAAAATATCAGCGTTTGCTCCAGATAGGATTGTCTTTACTCATGGGAACTTTACCACCTTTTATCATTTCCTTCCTTTTTTTCTGTTGGTGTAAGTTTGCCTTCAGTATGATGTCATATATCCCCGCCAGTGAAACCTGCCGAAGGGAGGGGACTGTGTTCTCACTGCTGCTTGTTCAGCTCTGGTTAAATATTTTACCCTCTGGCATGTATGTGTGTTTGTAGAACGACTGGATTTAGCAAGTACATTTGTAACTTCTGGTGTGTGTCTTTCTGGGTGAACAAGCAGATACCAGCCTCGTCTTTAATTAGTATTTGGGAGTGATGCATATTGGCTCAGAGTGAACCATCTGAGTATGTCTGTCCAGGGAGGAGAGTGTAGGGATGGGGCATTTAGCCTTCTTCCTTGGTGGCTCAGATGGTAAAGAATCCGCCTGCAATGAAGAAGACCTGGGTTCGATCCCTGGGCTGGGAAGAGCCTCTGGAGAAGGGAATGGCAGCCCACTCCAGTGGAGAATCCCTGGAGAATCCCCATAGGCAGAGGAGCCTGGCGGGCTACAGCCCACGGGGGGGCGGGGGGGGGGGTCGCCAAGAGTCAGACATGACTGAGTGATTAAGCACACAGCCCTCCACCCTGGAGCATCCGCCTTCCCCTGTGGACAGATGATGTAAAGATCTGCCGGTCTGTGAGCTGCAGCCTGATCAAACCGTGGTGGAAAATGAAATGCCTTTTCCTGTGAAAATTTGTCTGACCGTAGACATACTTTTCATTCTACTTGGAGGTGGAAGAATGAAGAGTCGAAAAACACAAACTCTTGGATAGGCAGAGCTTTTTTTAAAAAATGTGTTTTTTGTTTTTTTTTTTTACTGACGTACAAAGATAAGCATATAGCTCAGTGGATTTTCACCAGCTGGATACTCCCTTATCATGAACGCCTGGATTTTTATAAACACAACATCATACATCCCCTGGACGCCCTTTCCTGTTCCCTGTCTGTCATTGCCTCTCCAGAAGTGACTGCTGTCCTGACTTGGAATAGTGTGGGTTAGCTTTGTCTGCTCAGGTGTTCATGTAAATGGAATTATGTGGTTATGTACTTGTGGTGTCTGACTTCTTCCCTCAGCATTGAGAGGTTTGCTTCTATTGTGAAGCAAGTTGTGACATAATGTGGTTTCCCATTATTTAACTTTCAAAATCAAGATATTGAACAGATTGATACATTTCGAGATTTTTTTGTTAAATTAGGAGAATATAGCTACAGTGAAGAAGGTTCTAGAGGGAAGATAACCTGGTATAACCCTTGTAGAAAACAAGTGAGTAATACATGTGACAGCGGGCTTAAAAATTATCAGTGTTGTTTACCTCAATGTTTTCATTACTAGGAAGCTATCCTTAGAAAATAGGAAAACCTTTATACACATATAGAATACTTATTACAGTGTTATTTTTGGGAGTAAAAATATTATGGAAAGGCACTTGGGGCCTGTAATAGGAAAGCAGTCACACATTACATTCACAGATTACATTTCTTTAAAATAATGCATAGAAAGAATTTTTAAAGCTGTGATAACATGCTCAAAATACAGTGTTAAAATAATCAGGATATAAATGTATATTTAGCATGCTAGAAACTATTAGAGAAACAGGCATTTCCAAAAGGACAGAAGCAAATTATAAACAGCTATTAATAGTGTTGTTCTTCCTCTGGATGGTGGGGTTATGAGGTTTGTTTTTTTTTCCCTATTCTTGGCCAGATTTTTTTTTTTCACTTCTAGTTTATATTGTTGTTTATAATTAGAAATAAAAGTTTAAAAACTCTGAACGTTGACACACTCCTTAAGAATCAGTGATGTGTTTTCTTGGGGATGTTTCGGGCTTTGCAACAGAGTCGGCCCTCTGTGTCCATGACACAGGGTGCCAACTGTACCTACTGTAGTCTGCCACTTCCTAGAAGGGACCAGAGCATCCATGGCATTTGTTATCTGTGGACAGTCCTGGAACCAGTCCCCCATAGGTCTCAAGGGATAACTGGACATCCTCACCCCGCCATGTGAGCCACCCTGGTGAATACTTGCTGGCCAGCTCAGCTCTGGTTTTCTCTTTTGCCTCTTCTGCTAGGTCAACTCAACTACCAGGCGGCCTCTCCTGACGAGGGTGCTCTCGTAAGCGCCGCCAGGAACTTCGGCTTTGTCTTCCTCGCCAGGACCCAGAACACGATCACCATCAGTGAGCTGGGCACAGAGAGGACCTACCATGTTCTCGCCCTTTTAGACTTCAACAGTGACCGGAAGCGGATGTCTATAATTGGTAGGTCTCCCTCGGAGTTTGTCTGGCAATCATGCACATTCAGTTAGCAACACCAGGACAAAACAGGCGACGAATGAGCCCCTTGGCTTCTGGAGGGCCCTCGCAGACTTGTTGAAACTAGTGTCTCCTTGCTTCATTCTACACGATGTCCGTCACTCAAAGCGACAAACCGCAGTAGATCTGAACCTTGCATCATGTCTTGAACGATGTGGGCTGTCAACTGTGAAATCTGGGTGGCGGCTCTGTGGCTGGTAGACCCACAGCATGAGCTTTTCTACCATAAGTTGCTCCACGCATTTCTGCTGGGGCCTTGCGGGATGTCAGGGAAGGGAAAACAGTAGCAGGAGACGAGCCCTGAGAACAGCCAGGCTGTGCTTCTGAATGAAACTCCTCCCTCCAGCTCAGGCACAACGTAACAGGAACCCAAGTCGAAACAATGATCACTTCCTGATATTGAAATGTCTTAAATTCATAGTTTGAAATCATTGCAAACTTACAGAAAACTTGCAAGAACGCTTTAAGGAATCCTGTAGTTTCTTCCATGTCCAGTTGTCAGCACTGGTCACAAGTTCTTTGTCATTGTCATTTATGGGTTCTTGTTTTCGGAATCATTTGAGAGTTGATTAAGGCCACTGAGGTCTAATGTCCCTTTCCCCCAAATCCTTAAGTAGGTATTTCTTAAGATCAAGAAACTTCACTTACTGTTATGTCCAGTATGCTGATCAGAATCAGAAAACTCAGCATTACAGTGTTATTATCTAATCTACAGAGTGCTTTCAAATTTCACCAGGGATTTTCTTTCTGGTTCAGGACTCCACCCAAGATGCCACATTGCATTCAGTGATCATTACTCTGGTCTCCTTTATTCTGTGAGAGTTCCACAACCTGTTTTTGATCTTCGGCACGTTGACATTTTTGAAAAGCACAGGGCTGTTACCTTGCGGAAAGTCCCTCAGTTTGGGCCTGTCTGATGTTCCCTCATGACTAGGTGCAGATGGTGCCCTGTCGGCAGAAACGATCCCTACATTGGTGCCGTGACCTTCCCAGAACAGCATATCAGAAGGGACATGATTGCAGGTCACATCAGCTTGGATCACTTGGTTAAGTGACATCTATAACATTTTCCACCATGAGACTGACTTTTTAAATTTTATTTTTTAATTGGAGTATAAGCAGTTTACAATGTTGTGTTAGCTTCTGCTGTACAACCATGTGATCCAGCTACACGTGTACACACATCCCCTCTCTCTCGGCCTCCCTGCCGCCCTGCCGTCCCCCCGTCGAGGTCAGCGCAGAGCCGAGGCCCCCGTGCCGTGCAGCAGGTTCCCGCGAGCTGTTCATTGCAGCCATGGTAGGGCGTGCATGTCAGCGCGGCTCCCAGCCCATCCCACCCTCTCCTCCCCTCCTCCGCCACGTCCACAAGCCCGTTCTATTTGCAGGGCAGGAATTGAGATTGACTTTTTAACCAGTGTATAGGTTTAACTGCTTCCTGATTTAGTCATTTTTTTACTGATACTATTACTGGGTTAAATGATTAGTCTCATTTTACTGAGTGCTTCCTGTGGGCCTAACACTGATCTGGGCTGATGATCATGCCTGGCGTCTACCTTAGAGAACTTAAAATCTAGTTAGTAGTGAGACATGTGATGCAATTAAAGTACTTCAGAGATCAAAAAAGCCAAGAAAATGGTCATAAGGAGTCGTGTTAATGACCTGAGAATTAAAGGCAGTGAGTGTTGTGGATTTATAGATAAGAAGGATTTCTATTGGCTGGCATGGACAAAGTAGTCTATATGGAGAAAACCAACATGAAGTACTGCTGCTGCTGCTGCTAAGTCGCTTCAGTCGTGTCTGACTCTGTGCGACCCTGTGCGACGGCAGCCCACCAGCCTCCCTGGGATCCTCCAGGCAAGAACACTGGAGTGGGTTGCCATTTCCTTCTCCAGTGCATGAAAGTGAAAAGTGAAAGTGAAGTCGCTCAGTCGTGTCCAACTCTTCGCGACCCCATGGACTGCAGCCTACCAGGCTCCTCTGTCCATGGGATTTTCCAGGCAAGAGCACTGGAGTGGGGTGCCATTGCCTTTTCCAGCACACAGTAGGGAGCCAACAAATATTTGCTGAAAGAATAAGCAAGCAGATGGAAAACTGAGCTGACTAAAGGAATCTTTTCATATTTCACTATTACATTCTATGTAGGCTTACCAGTGTTGAGGGCAACATTTTTCTAGGTCCATTGCTTATTTTAAACTAATTAGGAATGATTAGCACTGTAACCCTTCAGAAGATTAACTGTATAGTTTTAAGAAATCAAACATTAACTTGATTATTGGCTTTTCCTTCTCTTGCTACTAGTAAGAACCCCGGAAGGCAACATCAGGCTTTACTGTAAGGGTGCCGACATTGTGATTTATGAACGGTTACATCGAACGAATCCTACGAAACAAGAAACGCAGGATGCCCTGGATGTAAGTCTCACTTCCACTCTTTTTTATGCCACGGATTCCAAACTTTTTTTCTGGTACTGTCTCTGAAGCTGGAGTGAAAGCTCTGTGCTACCTGTCGACCCTTCTGTTGTCTAGGTGTGGTTGAGTGGAAAGAGCACCCAAGTAGGAATATGGCAGGCTGGTTCTGATCCTGCCACAGAGGCTGACTTCCTAGGAAGCGAGCTCGGTGCATCTAGGTCGGCAGGACCATCAGGACTGACCCAGGAGAAAGGCTGGTCTTTCTTCCGGGGACCTTCAGCGAGTCACATAACCATCCTGTGCTCTAGTCTCAGTATCTGTGTGGCCTCCAAGAATTCCAGTGTCCTACGTACAGTGAAGTCAAGAGAACATTCCTGTAGGATGGGGCATGAGAAAGCAGTGCATGAGATAATCGATGTCTTTGTTAGAGAATCAGTTTGGTCTCCGTTACTTCAGACTTGCTATTTACGGGATGATGTGGTCGCAAGAGTCAGACAGGGGTGAGCAACTAAGCATGCACCCGTGTGCTTGGTAGTGATGTTGCGGTTTTTCAGCATGCTTCTGGAAATCTGAGAATTGTATGCCCACCCTCATATTGTTTTGTTTTTATATCATGGTGGCAGTGAAGCCTGGAGGATGAATCATTAATTGCCTGCATGAACTAGTTGCACAGTGCCCAGTACTTAGTCGGCACTCAATAAAGGGGTCTTTTTTCCCTCCACTTGAAGGGTCTGAGTTTGCAGGCCAAAGGTCCTTCAGAAGAAGTTGTTTACTACGTGGGGTCACATTTTAGGGTTATATATGTGTTGCTGATGCAGTTACAGTGGATAATTCCTCATGAGAATTTGAATGAGGGCGGTCTAATCAAATACATGCAGAACTTGCCAAAGAGTCTTTGAAAGCAAATCCTCACTTGGGTGAACCAGTTCTGCTATTTTGACTAGACAAGATGTGAATGTGAAGTAATGAAACATTTTTACTGGTTCACATTTAAGCTATTTAAAATGGCTTTAAATCTGTTCGCCATGATTAAATTTACAGACTTTTTCATGAAGATGTTTTATCTCAGCTTTAACAGTGGCTCATGTCTTTCAGAATTGGTTTGAGGTAATAATGCTTGGTTGAGGGTTCATAGTCTTTGAACGTTTATGGGAACAAATTGTAAAGTTGTCAGGTCTGGTTTACAAAACCTTTATACCACAAGGCACCATCCTTGGTCTCTTATTTGCTTAGTTGTTAAGGTTATTTTGTTCATTCTCATGACTTGATTTATAAGAAAGCTATACTTTTCCCTTTAATTAGGGAACTACAAATAAACAGTCCTAAGATTTTGAGAATACTTAGGAAAACAAAGTATTAATATTTGTTTACTCTCCTCTATGGAATGTGTGTCTACAGAATCATTTCACAGTTTCGTTTTAAATTATCTTATTGTATTACTGCAAAATGAGATTTCAAACTTATATAAAAATAACTGTTCTTTGGGTGGTTGGATTGTCTTTTAAATTAACAGATCTTTGCAAGTGAGACTCTTAGAACACTGTGCCTTTGCTATAAGGAAATTGAAGAAAAAGAATTTGAAGAATGGAATAAAAAGTTTATGGCTGCCAGTATAGCCTCAACCAACCGGGACGAAGCTCTGGATAAAGTATATGAGGAGATTGAAAAAGATTTAATTGTGAGTTTTAACTTTTGTAACTTTTCCCTTGATATTCTGAACAGAATTGGAAATCTTATTAAGTTTTATTACATTTTTGATCTCACTCTTGAAATACAATTCAAACTGTAGTATTTGAAACTGGTACAGTGGAACTCAGTCATTTGAATTTTTTTCAGCGAGCAAAATAGCAGTTGCCATTGTGAGAAACCAAAAGACAGAAAACACTATGAGATTCTGATTCTATTATTTTTATATCACCTATTACAATTCATTTTATACAATAATAAGCCAGTATATACTTATTACACTATGAGAATTACTGAGATGATTTATATTGTGCAAAATCTTGAAATAAGAAAAATACACCACTCATAGAGACTTTCCAAAGTTTAATACTTATTGCTTGTAGAGTTTTGATGGAAAGGAAATGTTCAACAGATAGTGAGTGTTGACTTTTAGCAAAAGAAACTGGTTTGTATCCGTGTAAAGTGGTATACACACAACAAAATTATATATTTTTAATGTCCTTGATTGGTACTTCCATTGTCTTGGTGAATTACTGTAAGGAAAAAGACTTTGGCTGCTTGGTTTTCAGTGCATGTGGAACACGGCAGCCTTCCCAGTTAATGCTGGCCGCTGGCCCCTGTCGTGCAGTGGCTGGGGTGTACTTAGCCCATCTGCTTTTTACAGGTCGGCAGACTGCAAATACAGAACATTTTTGGCTTATTTGCTAATTCCTTTCTGTGAATGTACATTCCAGCTATTAGGAGCAACAGCTATTGAAGACAAGCTACAAGATGGAGTCCCAGAAACCATTTCAAAACTTTCAAAAGCTGACATTAAGATCTGGGTGCTCACTGGAGACAAAAAGGGTAAGTCAGTTTGCAGGGAAGCCTTATCTGTTAATTCACAAATATCCACAGCCCCTGTCTCCCCTGCTCAAGGTGACCTTCTCAGACTTCCCATCCTGCACAAGCACTGTCTCTTTCTCTGGGGCAGAGATGCTTTCCGTGAGAAATCCTGTGTTACTCCAGCCCACCCTGACTGCCTCCTTCCCGAAACTCCCTTGGTGGCAGAATTTACTCCTTGTAAGTGAGCTCCTATTTATGTCCTGCTGGCTGTGTTCAGTCTTATCTCTCTGTCCGACATGGGCTCCTGTCCTCAAAGGGCCAGCCCTCTGGTACCTTCTATCTTCCTCCGCACTTTACCACCTGTTGGGCAGAGAGCAGAAGAGCATAACATGCTGAATAGCAGCTTTGGTTTTCTTACCTCTTTTATTACTTGAAAATTGGAATTTTATCCCCACGGGAAGATTCTAATGTTTAAATTCAGAGCTCAACAAGGAGTTGAATGTTGTGTTATGTTTCTGTTGATTTTTTACTCCAGAAGCCTTTCATGGGAAACTAGATAATTTGTTTTACCCTGACATTGTTGATGGATTACACACTCAGATAAGCTAAGGAATTAAGTCCTGACCTCAGACAAGTGGTGGGGGTGGTGTGAAAGGGGAGAAACTGTCCAGGAGCCACATGTGAGGGTGTGTGGAAATGGTTATCCTTCCCACCTTGTGTGTGTATCACTCAGTCATGTTTGACTCTGTGACCCCATGGGCTGTAGCCTACCAGACTCCTCTTTCATGGAATCCTCCAGGCGAGAATACTGGAGTGGGTTGCCATTCCTTTCTCCAGGAGATCTTCCCGACCCAGATTAAACCACATGAACTAGATGTGTTCAGTATTTCAATGAACATTGATTTTATTAAATAACCAGCTTACACATTTGATATTATAGCATATTTCATTATTAAAAACATTTCGACAAGACTTTGACTTATTAGACTTATTACAGAGAAAAGGATTTTTTTCCTTTAGTGATGTCTAGACATTGCTACCAAAAAAATCAAAAAGTGTATTTGATTGAATCTGGTTGTCCTATTAATTGAAAAAATTGTTACTAGATGAAGGCCATTATTAAATTCATCAGTAGGAATGACATTTGACTTTTTTTTTCTGTTGTAGAAACTGCTGAAAATATAGGATTTGCCTGTGAACTTCTTACTGAAGATACCACTATCTGCTATGGGGAAGATATCAGGTGAGTAAAGGGCCTGCAGTGTGAGAATATGTAATATCTCATTTTTATAAAAACACGACTGGACAGTAGACACAGACAGAGAGATGGAGCTAGAACGTGTCACTTGCGACAAGTCTCCTCAAGTCTAAGTGAAACAGGAGACAGCAGGCAGCTCCAGGTCACCACACTTCAACCTTGTGTTGTAGAGAAACTTGAGGCCTGCCTTGCCCCTTCAGGGGCTTTTTTCTGTATCCCTTGGAAGCCCTCAGCGCTTGCCTGCTGAAAAAGGAAGTGGGCTTGAGACATCACTGACTAATTACGAATTAGATTTCATATTTTGTCTCTCCCAGCCTTTAGTGATTTGTCTTGATCACTCCTTATTTTCAACTTGAAAATGAGAAGTTAATGTGGAAAAAGAACAATAGCTACCACATCTCCTAGTGCAGTGGTTCTCAAGCAGGGTGGGGGAGGCGGGGCCTCTGCCTTCTGGGGAACATCTGGCGATGTCTGGAGACGCCTTTGGTTGTCACAGTGGGGAAGTTGGGGTGCTCCTGGCTTCCAGTGGGGTAGTGGCCAGGGGTGCTGCGAAACAGCCTACAGTACCTATAACAGCCACATATAACAAAGAATCAGTAGTGCCAAGGTTGAGAAACCCATCCTTGAAGGTGAAGACTAAAGGCTCTATGTGTGTAAGACGGAAAATCCTGGCTGAGAGTTAGGAGACCTGAGTCCTCATTGCATTTTCCCCATCAGCTTGTTGCAGGCAAATCACATTATCTGTCTCGGACTTAATTTCTTTGTTTGTTAACATGAAGAGATTGGGTATTTACAGTCCTTTTTACTCCAGAATTCCATGACTCATTTTTGTATCACATGAGTGAGCTATATGTGGTCTTCTCAATAATTTGTTAATATAAAGCATGCAGAATAACTCAAAGGCAGACATAACTTTATGTGGAAATAAGTTGTTTTTTTTTCTGCCCAACAGTGGTCACTAATGTTTATAGCACACTAGGGTTCACCCCAATATACTATAATTCTGATTAAGGTTGCCTTCCTTCTGTTGCTTATGAACACATTTTCAACTGTATCTTCTTTCAGCCACCTTTGGCAAATAATAAAGTACCCAGAACATGGTGCCTCCATGGTAGAGGAATCAAGACTTAGTAACATGTCACTTGATTTAAAAAATGGGCAAAAGACTTGAATAGATATTTCTCCAAAGAGACATATAAATGGCCAATACGCATATGAAATAATGCTCAACATCACTAATCACTAAAGAAATGCAAATTAAAACCACAGTTTCACCTAATATTGATTTAGGATGACTACTATTTTAAAAACACAGAAAATAGTGTTTGTACAAGTATATGGAAAATTGAAACCTTTGTGCACTGCTGGTGAATATAAAATGGTGCAGTCACTATGGAAAGCAGTATGATGATTCCTCAAACAATGTAAAATAGAATTATCATGATCCAGCAGTCCCACTTCTATATCTATACCCCATCGGATGAAAAGCAGAGACTTGAACAGATATCTGCACACCCATGTTCACAGTGGCATTAATCACAATAGCCAAGAGGTGGAAGCAGCTCAAGGGTTCACTGACAGATGAATGGACAAACAAATGTGGTATATCCATACAGTGAAAACTGGGGCTTCGTTAGTGGCTCAGACAGTAAAGGATCTGCCTACAATGCAGGATATTATTCAGCTTTAAAAAGGAAGCTACATATGCTACATATGTACATAAGCTACATATGCTGCAACATGAATGAACCTGGAGAACAGTGAAATGAGCCACTATTAAGTGAAATAAGCCAATTACGAAAAGGCATGTACTGTCTGATTCCATTATGAGAGTTATCTGGGGCGGTCACATTCACAGAAACAGAGTGAAGTGGTGGTTACAGAAGCTGGGGGAAGGGGAAATAGGGAGCTGTTATTTAATGAGTATGGAGTTTCATTTTGAAAAATGAAAAAGTTCTGGAGATTAGCAATGTGAATATACATAATACTATTGAACTGTATACTCATATAGTTAAAAGATGATAACTTTTATGCTAGTGTGTTTTTTATTGTTATTTTAAAAAGATTATATGTCAAAATTATCTCCCAGTCAAGGGTGTGTTCATGGTCTTATACACACTTAAATTTTCCCCCAGCGCTCTTCTTCATACAAGGATGGAAAACCAGAGGAACAGAGGGGGAGTCTATGCAAAATTTGTACCCCAAGTGTATGAACCGTTTTTTCCGTCTGGTGGGAACCGTGCCTTGATAATCACTGGCTCTTGGTTGGTACGTATCATTAGTTCTCTCCCTTTGGCTCAAACTAAAGCAGGTCATTCTGAACCAATTTTAGACAGTTTCATATTAATTACCAACGTTAAAATCTGTTAGCCTATAAATAAGAGGACGATTTCCCAAGCCTGAGAGTTAATATTATATGATACATAAAATAAGTGATACATATAATAATATGTGATATATATAATATTGTGATATGTATATGCTACATATTATATGATCATAATATATCTAATATTATTATTATATGATATAAACTGGTAGCAGTGGTTACTACTAGTCTGTCAACAGAAAATTTTAATTTTCTTCATTGTACATTTAAAAGTTTTCTATAATTTTATAGTAAATATTTTATAATCAGAACAATATCATCAGTGACACAGCCTCAGAATTATCCCTCAGATGATTAAAATCTTGGGAATGGCACTCCTGATATAAAACCCCAAACAGACTGTAATCCTTTCCCCTCCTTAATGTCACAGAATGAAATCCTTCTCGAGAAAAAGTCCAAGAGAAGCAAGATTCTGAAGCTGAAGTTCCCCAGGACGGAAGAGGAGAGGCGCCTGCGGACTCAGAGCATGAGGAAGCTGGAGGTGAAGAAGGAGCAGCAGCAGCAGAACTTCGTGGACCTGGCCTGCGAGTGCAGCGCGGTCATCTGCTGCCGCGTCACCCCCAAGCAGAAGGCCATGGTGGTGGACCTGGTGAAGCGGTACAAGAAGGCCATCACGCTGGCCATCGGGGATGGCGCCAACGACGTCAACATGATCAAAAGTGAGTCTCACCCACAGGCCAGGGCCGCCAGCTGCCAGAGAGGAAACGGCGGGACCCTTTTGGGGGGCAGTCTTTCACTGCTTGGGCTCTCATGAAGCAGACCTTTGACAAAGGCGCTTGCCTGTGATGACGACACCCGTGACCCTGCCCTCAGGAAGCTTACAGTCCTTCTAGTAGGAGAGTGCAGCAGGCGTGACTATGCCACGCATGGTGCCAAGTTCCAGGTTGGCCAAACGGGCCAAAAGGCTTGATCAGATTTTTCCATAACGTCTAATGGAAAAACCCACACAAACTTTTTAGCTGACCCAGTAGGAGATGAGTTTCATGTGGGTGACCTTATCCTTGTTTCCTTCCATTGCATATGTTTGGATTTGGCTTTTTGTTTTCTCTTGCTGCTTCTCCTCCTGTATTTCTTTAGGGTTTATTGAAAACCCTACCATATAATAAGTTTTGCAAAAATCTATGCTGAGCTTGGCATAAATTGTTGAATTATTATTTGTTTGGGGAATATTACTCTCCCACACCTAAGCATTGTTTTCTGGGGCTTTCTTCCTGCTGTTGGTCAGTTGTTAAACTTCACCATTGGGTGACCTCGTGTGAGCTCAGAGTAACACACTTGGCATTGAAGCAAAGTTCCAATGTGGCCACAACATTCTCCTCACCTCCCAAGGTTGGAGGACCCTAGGTACCCACAAATGAAAGGATTGAGTCCTATCTTGTAGAAATACAGTTTTGCTGGTATTAAAGCATTGGGAACCAAATCCGTATCAGTATGTCTGAACCCTGGTCCTTTTGTTTCCCTGTAGAACTTGTAAAGGGTATCCTGTAATGAAAATGCCTGAACTAATGAGATCTGAATACTTGCCTTCATCCTAATACCAACATGCTGTGTCACCCTGGGCTCATGCTCAGGCGTCAGCTTTCTCATTTGAGAACAAGAAAATTGTCTCTGATGTCATCTCTAGCTTTGTGATATTATTCTTAAGATGAACAATCCATGGCACGTATGCACATGTCCTGTAGGTGCTGGGTAGCTTAGACGGATTATGTATATAACTAGACTTTGAACTCAACCTATTTTGTAACTCATGTGTCTCTTTCTTTCCTTAGAGTTTCTTCCTCCTCCTCCTTGATATACACTAAGAATATTCCAACTTTATCTTCCTCAGCAGGAGTCGGCTCTGTGATGTACGTCTTCTTGCTTCTTTACCGCGTGTACGTCTGTGGCCTCTACCGGTTTAATTTCTCCGCAGTTCTGCACACACGCATCCTGCCGTGCGAACGGCATTTCTTGCTCTGAATCAGATGTTCTTTCCTCTGCAGCCAGTTCTAGTTTATTTTCCATTACGTACCTTAACATAAATGCCTCTGCCAAAAAAGCAAGTAACTCAAACATGATTTTTCTTCAGTTATAACAAAGACTTCTAGATACTGGAGAAAGGGCAGTTCCCTTACAGACTTACCATCTGACTATGTGAGAGACTTGAAGACTCTCTTGTTGCTCTGGGCTCACTGGTTGATAGCAAAAGGGATCACAGAGAGTCAGCATACATGAATCTCCTAGAGACTGTTTTTTCTTAAGTGGTCTTAAGCATTTTATTAAGCTGTGTTATATGGTAGATGCTTTTATATATAATGTAGGAGGCATCCTTTGGGGATGAAAATCAGAGAATCTCAGGTCTCCTTGGAAGAACGTAGCTTAATCCAAGTATTGTTAAGCACCTTTTGAACTTTGTGAAAACTGTTGTTTTACCTGCATCAGGAATACACAGAAATCGTTGTTTATGAAGCACAGTGGGATCTGTGTCTAAAAAACTCTGACCATTTCCTAACTTGTTTCATGGTTACTGGTGTAGTCCAGTAGACGTGGAGGGAATTGCAGTCCACCAGTTTGCCCCTAGCAAGGACCCAGGGACCCTCAGAGGCTGCCCTCTCCCTCCTCTGTGCCTGAAGATGGCTGGTAGGTGGGGTTTTACTTGGCCGAAACCCTGAGAATGAACAAGAGGCATTACAGTGGCAGGAAGAAACTATCAGTTTGTTAGGGAATTATGAAGCAATCTACTTGGAAGGCATTTAAAACCACATCTGAAACTTCAGGAAAATCTAGGTGTCTATATTTAGATTTCAGGAAAACACAAGCAGTGTGGTCTTATAAAGTCCATCTGTTTAGTTGCCTTGAGTCACGCTGTGAACTGGGGCAGTGTTCGCTTCACATACTGTCCTTGGTCTGCACTGCAGAGGCTGGCCTGGATGTCACGGCCTGGCACAGGCGCTGGTGCTCAGAGGCTCCTCGGCCTCGGCTCTGAAAGAATCGCAACATTTCCGTTACTTGCTCAGGAAAGAAGGCCACCGTTTGGTAGGAAAGAGCAGCCTGGCAACCATGACTGGTCATTAAGAACTATTTATGTGTTTAGAAAGAGGTCATAAATATTGATCGAGATGCAGTTTATTCTATTTTTTTTTTTAGAATTAGCAGAGTGTTATTTAAAAACATAGGTTTCGGACAAGTCACTGTGTTAACGTCTTGAATTTGTCAGAGCTTATATTCTGCAACTGGGGCAGGGGTTTTGGAGCTTTTAGTTGGAAACTCTGCTGAACTGGCAGACACTTCTCAGGGTCTGAGCAACCGTAGAATGTGTTCTCCAACACGTGTTCTTAAAATGATCTCACTATTTGTCTTTCATGACTTTTAAGACCTAGATCAAACTCATAATTCTCTAAGTGGAACATATAATTTAATGACTATTGGAAAGATGGATAAAACTGGAACTATTATTTTTATCCATTCTGGAAACCTTCCTCCCCTTAAAACAACTGGCCCCCCCTCAGGTCTCAGTGGGCCATGAATAAGCCTTTGAAAGTTTAATTGTATCTAAGTTAAAACACTTTTGATCGCAAGTCTTAGAGAACAATTAAAGTTAGCATACAAGAAAAAGAAACCTAATTTAAAAAGCTACAAATATGTGCTGCTCAAGGAACCAGGCCTCTGGATAATGGTAGAACCAAGAAGCAGTACCAAGAACCCAGAGTCTGTCTCTCTCATCCTTTCTCTAGATTACTCTATTTCTCAGTGCCTCAGAAAGAAGTACATCCATCCCACAACTCAAGAATTTACATGCCAACATTCCAGACCAACACACCCGAATCCTAATTCCAAAACACCAAGAGAGAGGCCGAGGGAAACAAATCCCTACGGGAACTCTAAGTGGGAAGTGATTAATACAGGGGGCCAGGCGCTCATAGAAAATTCTGGATGGACCGAGGAAGGTTGGTTCTGGGCGGTGTCTCCAAGTCGGGGTCACCTGCCAGAGGAGTCGTTAGAGGCGAGGCTCCTCTGAAGAGCTGTCCTGTCGAGAAGCCCTTGCACTTGTTCATCAGCGTCTGGGCAGCTGGAGAACGGGCATGCAGAGCCCGCTGCAGGAGTGCCAACCAGGGGAGGGGTGCTGCGCTCCCATCCACTTCTGCTTCCAGGTCGCAAGCGCGGCCAGACAAGTGGAACCTAGTTCACGAAGGGGACCTAGCTGCAAGGGAGTCTGAGCAACGTAGGGCTGTTATTTGCTTTCCCACCTCTCTAATTAGAGTAAAATTTTAGAATGAAGGATGAGAGCCAATTCATAGTAACTACCACAGATTACATGTCTGCCCACAGCTGACTCAGCTGTGGCCAGGGAGTCAGGGAGATATGGTATATAAATGGGTGCCTAGGGCTCACCCTGTGGCTGGGAAGGATGGCTTACGAGCTGGGCAGATAATCCAAATAGAATTCATCACCCATTGAGATCCTTACACAAATATTTATGGAGGCCCAACCATGTGCTCTATATAGCAACCTGTATCTGTGACTTTGAGTTCAGAAGCTGAGGGTAGAGGACTGTGAGCAATAGCTTTCACATGTATTGGTTCATAAATGTCAGGTTCATTTGTTTTTTGTATTGCCATAGAAACATTTTTATCATCTCAATGTTTTGCTTTAAAATAAGCGTAGGATTCACAGTATCTGCTTCGTCACCCTATAGCTGCCCACATCGGTGTTGGAATAAGTGGACAAGAAGGCATGCAAGCTGTCATGTCCAGTGACTACTCCTTTGCACAGTTCAGATACCTGCAGAGACTGCTCTTGGTGCATGGCCGGTGGTCTTACATAAGGATGTGCAAGTTCCTGCGATACTTCTTCTATAAAAACTTTGCATTTACTTTGGTTCATTTCTGGTACTCCTTCTTCAATGGGTACTCTGCACAGGTAATACACCACCATCATCAATATTATTAAATGAGTAATGCTCCTCTCTTACATGAATAAAACTACTTCTGAAAAAAAATTTTCTATTTTTCCCTTCCGTGTTCACAGTTTTGATTCTGTGTCTCTTAATAATTGAGACATAGATCAATTAAGTTTATGAATTTTCTAAAATGTTTCTGGTGCTTCGAACTTACTATGCCTTTAAAAAAGGCAGGATTTGTTCCTGGCCTGTTGACTTTTGTGTGTCTTTGCCTTCACCTTAGATTTTTTTTTCCCAAGTCATCTTACCTTTAAGAATAGTGATAACAAATTGTTCAGCTTTGAACAAACTCTTCAGATTTAGGTATAAAATTATATTGTGACTAAAGGGATTATATAAATTTCAGGTGATCATAGACCCATTATGTCTCCATTGCTGTTGGTTTTTAAATTTTTATCTTTTGCTGAAATAGGAGTAGGAACATATCTAACATGTCAAATTGGTGACATGGCAGAAAAATACCATTAGTAAAATATGAACCTAAGCCAGTGCCTGTGCTTGTCCAAACTTCTTTGATGCTATGCCACAGACAATTGCCACAAGAGGAGGGCTGATGTAGAAACTGGGCCAGGAGGTCTTGAGCAAGACTGGATCCTTCTTCCTGCTTCTGTGCAGGACTGTGCAGCAATGCTGGTGCCAAGTCAGCCCGTTTCCTCAACCCATCCTCATCCTTCCCCCCGCCCCCCGAGGACTGGTGTGTGCACAGTTTTGCTTATCCCTTTCAGAAGCCTCTTTCTTATATTCAAAATGTTTTAGATAATGTTTAACTGGAAATGCTGGACCAGCAAGATAAAAGCAAATCTGAATGGTACATATGTACTTCTGAGCCAGCTGGATGTAATCTCATTCATTAATAAAAGAGGATGAACACGGATGTTTTCCAGCAGTTTTCAAATAGACCAGATTCTTTCCCCTGCTTATTTGAGGAGGGAGATGAATGTGAGAAGCCCTTTGATTCTGCCCACTCTATCAAAACAAACTCATGCCTACTGCGGGCATAGCTGATGGGGGAGGCGGGCGTCCTCTCCCTGGGGATGTCCTTGCTTTGAGGGCAGGTGCATGCGTGTTGACTAGCCGGGCAATGTTTCTTGGTTGGTGACACACAGACCCTGTCATCTCCTCACAGACCGCGTACGAAGACTGGTTCATCACCCTCTACAACGTGCTCTACTCCAGCCTACCCGTGCTCCTCATGGGGCTGCTTGACCAGGTAGGACCCCGTGCGGACAGGGGTGCTCTGCACAGACTGAGCGCCTGTATCACAGCACATACTTCAATGTCTTCTCTTGGTTTTCACTTCTTTCTGAGTGAGCCCTATTATATTTCTGCTGTCAGGCAACAACTGTTGTGCTTCTGGTTTTATAGTAAGAAAAGAAGATTTCTGTGCCTGGGTTGAGTCCATCAGTAAGAGAGTTTGTTATCCTCATTTTGGATGCTGAGGTTTTCTTGTTAGATACCTAACAGTATAGTATGTCTCTATGATAATGATTTATACATTTTTAAAGTTACATTACTTGTAACTTTACATGTAATGTAAATTACATTACATTTTCAGTTACATTAAATTAATACCTCCCCAAACTTCTTGGTTTAATTAAATCTACATTCTATCTAGTTGCAATTTTTATAGAAGCTGCTTTAAAGAACAAAAAGAATAATCTGGAACTAGCTCATCATGAATGTGAAAATGCTTTCTCAAAGAATGAGAAACAAATCTCTCAGGAATTAAAAATAGGCTTCCTATACTCTTTTTAAACATTACCAATTTGCTTTCTGTAAGTAGAAAATAGTAGTTTACGTAGTCTCTCAAAATTAAATATCAAATAGTGGTGGGCTACTTCCCTCGTGGCTCAGATGGTAAAGAATCTGCCTGCAATGTAGGGGACCTGGAGTCAATTCCTGGGTCGGGAAGATCCCCTGGAGAAGGGAAAGGCTACCCACGCCAGTATTCTTGCCTGGAGAACTCCATGGACAGAGGAGCCCGGCAGGCTACAGTCCATGGGGTCGCAGAGTTGGTTGGACACAACTGAAGCAACTTAGCACAGTATTGAAGCTGCTGTTTGCACAATGAAATTATTCAGGATTTCTCTTTGGTTTCTGCCTCTCTGAAAACTTAACAAGTCTCAGTTCTTTGTGAGATATAAGTTGTAACGAATGTATCCGAGTTCTTGGATCCTGGCCGGCAGTACACTCAACTCCAGTGTTTTCCCCTCAAGGACGTGAGTGACAAGCTGAGCCTCCGCTTCCCCGGCTTATACGTGGTGGGACAGAGGGACCTGCTCTTCAACTACAGGAGATTCTTCGTCAGTTTGCTGCACGGGGCTTTAACGTCGCTGGTCCTCTTCTTCATACCTTACGGCGCCTACACGCAGACCATGGGGCAGGACGGAGAGGCGCCCTCGGACTACCAGTCTTTCGCGGTGACGATCGCCTCTGCTCTCATAATAACAGTCAACTTCCAGGTATGTGGCTTTAGCTGACCGTGTCCAGTGCCCACTGCATCCGTTTCTGTGCGCAGACCAGCAGGCACATCTGCCTGGCTCCCACTCTCCCTCCAACCGAGCCTCTGCCGCTCTGCAAGTATGAATGGATGCTATTTTCATCTCTTAAAACAAACGTACTTCCCATTTCTTGCCTGAGCCAAGAGCAGCTTCTGATTGTTCAGAAGCCAAATCATGCCTAAATTGCTGAATTCTATTTTCAGAATCCTTAGATCCTTTATTTCTTGCTAACTCCCAAAAATGAATGCTTTGTTTTTCTCTGGTTTCCCAACAGATTGGCTTGGATACTTCTTATTGGACTTTTGTGAATGCTTTTTCAATTTTTGGAAGCATTGCACTTTATTTTGGCATCATGTTTGACTTTCATAGTGCTGGGATACATGTTCTTTTTCCATCTGCATTTCAATTTACAGGTTGGTATTTTCTAAATTCCAAAAATAAATGAATAGAAAAATATCATTAATTTAGATTCTGACATAACTTCAGGGTAAGTAAAAACACAAAGTGTGAATTACTGCGAGTGAAAATTAATGTCCTGAGTAGAGACTGAATGGTGGTTAGTGGGTTGGAAGCAGGGTAACATGATGGCAGGAAAGCAAATTAAATAACTTTAAGCTATAACTGTGCTTTTTAATTCTTCCATAAAATCTAATATTGGAAGGTTACTGGGAAACTAGGGATACATGTTTCCCAATATAGTACGATAGTTTAATCTTTCTAAAACACTACCTAGAAATACATAATAAAATTTGGGGTACATTTTGATTTTGTTATTTCCACATGAGGAATATACCCTAAGATGAAACACACCAAATTTTGGAAAGGTAATCTGTACAAAGATTGTATCACTACAACACTAATGTCTTTTAAAAACTGGAAATAACCCAAAGACATAAGAGTATCAAATTAGCAAAAGAAATTATGATGGAATTCTAAAACTTAAAAGTGGATTGTTAGGGAGGGAGGTGGGAGGGGGGTTCAGGATGGGGAACACATGTAAATCCATGGCTGATTCATGTCAATGTATGGCAAAAACCACTACAATATGGTAAAGTAATTAGCCTCCAACTAATAAAAATAAATGGGGGAAAAAAAAGTGGATTGTATCATCAGAAATATGCACACAGAGCAGTAAGTAAACTTATAAAAAACAAGTTTACAGCTGTATAAAATATGACAAACGGACAAATGTTAGAATGAACTAATATCATAAAATTTATAGCATAAATTAGAATTTATGAACTTACTATGGATAGTGTAGCTTGGATTCAAAATGGAAAAAAAATGCTCCATAAACTTGTTTCTCTGTAAAAGAATTTTTTTTAATGACCAGTTGTTTGGTTATAAAAGGCAGTAGCTGTGGTAAGAATCCACCTGCAATGCAGGAGATGCAGGAAATGTGGGTTCAGTCCTTGGGTCTGAAGTTCCCCTGGAGGAGGGCATGGCAATTCACTCTAGGAGTCTTGCCTGGAATATTCCAGGGACAGAGCAGCCTGGCAGGCTACAGTACATGGGGTCACAAAGAGTTGGACACAACTGAGCACATACGTGGTAATAACCCTTTTCTTATTGGAATTGAGCTCTTTTTTTTTTTTTTTTTTGGTCTGTGTTCTTCCTTACTGTGACTGTGTTTTAAAATTTTAGTACTCAGTTACTTAGGGTATTCCCATAGGGAGTGTTTTTAAAACCCATACACATTTATCAGTGTTAAAATCACATTTAAAAAATAAACACTATTATTTTTATAAACTCACAGTATTAAGTACAGAAAATATTGTAACAAATTTGGCTCAGTTTTAGAATTAAGTAGTATATATGATTACCTGGTTGTATTAAGAGAATTGAATTGTTACTTCCTCTGACATAAAAAACTAGAAGCTGAGTTCAGTACAAAAAGCCAAGCTCTAGCTGGATGGATATGGATTTTAATTCAGGAGTTGCATAGCTAGTTCTGTTACCGTGGACCAATTTTTTATTAATACTGCTCCACTACTTGGTTTCTTCACGTAGTAAAGACGGCAATACTCACCTCTCAGAATTGAGTAAACGGCATGATTTGTATAAAACACCTAGCATGAGGCTTACCCACAAATAGTAGTGCCCGTTGTTAATATGTGGAGTTTCAAACCAAAGGTATAAATTGGAAAGTGCTTTTTTGAAAATTTTATTTTTAATTGAAGGATAATTGCTTTACAGTATTGTGTTGATTTCTGCCATATATCAACATGAATCAGCCATAGGCATATATAGGAAAGTGCTTTTTTAGGTTCCTGAAAAAAAAAATCCAAGTATAAATTGCCTATTTTTGCATTTCTTATTAATTCAGTGCCAACAAATGTACCTTTTTTCCTTATTTAGTCACTTATATACATTTGCCTTGTTCCAAAGAATTTATGTTCCTTATTCTGCTTTGCTTAGTCTGGTTTTAAAATGTTTACTCCTTGAATGGTGATGGGTTATTCTGGGGAAGGCAATCTGGTTGTAAAAGTTTACCGGAGAGAATCCATTTGTGGACTGTGGAATATTAGTCACGCCCTCCTCTCCTTGGGATGAAAGGACCATTGTGAGTCATTCTCTGTGCTTCTTCCAGGCACAGCTTCAAATGCTCTGAGACAGCCGTATATTTGGTTGACCATCATCTTGACCGTTGCTGTGTGCCTGCTGCCCGTTATTGCCATTCGTTTCTTGTCAATGACCATCTGGCCATCAGAAAGCGATAAGGTATAGAAAAAAACAGACTTCTCCTAACTGAGTGCCTCTCACAGAAATCAGAGCCTTTCTCCAAAGCAGCTTTCCTGCAAAATTCTCAGCTCTTAGGAAGTTTGGTCTGTTTTTAGGACTACTCTTTAACTCCACCTTGCAAATAAGTCCCCTGGGATTGGTATTTTTGTTTGCTTGTTTTTTATCATAAAAAAGGAAGAACAGTATATACATCTACCCTCTCAATTTAGCAATTATATATTCAGCAATTATACTATTAGTATTTCGCCCTGCATACAGGTTGGGATTTTGTTTTTTCCATTTAAAGAAAAATGTCACCTCTTATAGCAGGATCCTTTGGCTCAGATGGTAAAGCGTCTGCCTGCAATGTGGGAGACCCCAGTTCGATCCCTGGGTCGGGAAGATCCCCTGGAGAAGGAAATGGCAACCCACTCCAATACTCTTGCCTGGAAAATCCCATGGATGGAGGAGCCTGGTAGTCTACAGTCCATGGGGTCGGGAAGAGTCGGACACGACTGAGCGACTTCACTTTTTTTTTTTTTTTTTGAGCTTCAAGTATCAGGAAGATACGGCTCAAAAGGGCTCAGTGATGACATACCACCTCCAGGCACAGAACAGGCTTCAGGCTCAGGTGATGAGCAGCGGCCTGGGCTTCTTTCTCGCTCTCCCCTCTGCTGTCTTTCTGACAGATGCTTTCTGAGAGATGGCTACAGCAGTTCCTGACACTGCATCCGGCCAAGTCTGCATCCAGGGGAAGATTAAAGCTTTCCCTTAGGAGCCTGGGGACTTTGGGGGAGGGCTCAGCACACTTCCTTCATGTCTCCTGAGCCAGCATTAGGGCACATGCCCATTCCTGGACTAGTCAGAACAAGGGAAATCAATGGTCCCACCCTGCGGGTGCAGTCCACATCCCAGGAGGACTGCAGCTCTGAGGAGGAGGAAGGCACCTGGATAAGCTCCATCTCCATCAGAAAGCAGAGAGGCACTGCCAGGCAGGCAAGGAACCTTCATGTCCTCTGTCTCTCCCCTCCACTGACCAGTGTGTGCATTACAACACCCAGAGGCACTTTGCTACACCTGGGCCAGTCCGCCCAGGTTCTGTGGGCTGCAAAGAGCGCCGGTTGAGGAGTGGGAGTCCTGGCGGCCCTGTTTCTAGCTCTGAGAGCTTGCAGGCCTCATGGAACCTCTGCCCCTGCTTCCTCCTCTCTAAAGCCAAGATGGAGATGCCCACCCCTCAGGGAGGTGGGTGTGGGGAAGCCTGGTCCAGGGCCCCGGTCAGTCCGCGGGGCTCCCTCTGCGGGCGCAGACCCGCGTTTCCCTTCGGCCTCCCGGCTCTCCCTCACCTGGTCCTGCCTTTCCCGCTTCTGCAGATTCAGAAGCACCGCAAGCAGCTAAAAGCCGAAACGCAGTGGCAGCGGCGCCAGCACGTGTTCCGCCGGGACGTGTCCACGCGGCGCTCGGCCTACGCCTTCTCGCACCAGCGCGGCTACGCCGACCTCATCTCCTCGGGCCGCAGCATCCGCAAGAAGCGCTCGCCCCTGGACGGGGTCATCGCCGACGGGTCGGCGGAGTACCGGCGCACCGCCGAGAGCTGAGGCACCGGCTCCTGGGGGACCTGCAAAAAAACAGTCACACGGAGGAAACGTCTTTGTCTTTTTTTTTTTTTTTTTTTTAATGAGAGACTGGGAACTTTTTGTAGAAAACTGAACCTGTCACGAGCATGCTGAAGACAAGAACCTTTTCAGCAAACGACTTGCTTTTGCTGTGGCAATCGTCCAACCCAAGAAGACCTTTTGAAAAGTCAGATTATCAGATGTTGATGTTATGATTCAAAGTGAACATTTTTAACCCCGTCTCAATCTAGGACACGAAAATTTGAAAAAGTCTTCTATTTCAGTTCAAATGGTATCATTTTATAAAATTAGTAAGCTTTTCCTGTCTGGGATCTTTGTCAGGAATTTCCCAGAGGCTCTTTTTTTTCCCCGGAGTCTACCTTACTATAACAAAGACCTTATAATAGTAATGACAGAAGACTCATGAATGTTCATCTCCTAAAAGCTAAGTGGTCTGCCTTTTTCAGAGTTGATAATGGGACCGATGATTTCATGTTCTCATGTGGATTTAATTCAGCTCAATCAGCAAAAGTGACTTCACATTTCATAAACACAAGGTCTGGGTCTGTTTCCGTCTACCACCAGGTGAAAAAAGGACATTACCTACGTTTACTCTTCCTGTTGTGTATTATTTCAGCCACTTCCTGTAGAACCAAGTGAGCTTATTGTCTACGGTCGATTTAAAAAAAGATGCATTTAAATATTTATGGGTTTTTTTTAAAAGCTTTTAAAAACTGAGGGTATCAGTGATAAATTGCAGAATATTCTGCAAAGCTTTCTTTTGAAAAGCAAACTTTTGTGCCTGCCTATGTGTTGTGTTTTTATAAGGGACATAAAACAGAGACCTCATTCTTTTCTACTTCAGAGAAACGGCTGTTAGTAGCCATATTCCTAAGGCTAATAAAATTATGGAAACTGGCCTCAAAGAGATAAGAGTTATTTATCCAGGGGCTTTTCTCATTCTTTGTGTTTCACACTCATTTTCGTATTCCAGTGAAGACACAGAAGTGTCTTCAGTAATTCTGTTCTTTACCATTAGGTTGTGAATGTTCACAATATTCATTCGAGTTCCTTATGAGGAAATCACTGTGTAAATAGTTCATTGTGAAGGTATAAGCAAAGAATGTTTAGTTCTTTATGGAAGTACATTTCTGGAAGTTTACAACTTTTATCTTGTAAATAAAAAATTGTAAGGTTTTTTTGTAAAGAAAAGTTAGCTTGTGTAATTCTGTCAGTTTCAGATTTCTCTCCCGTTTTACGAATTGTGGGAAAGGTCGACAATGTAAATGTGTCAAAGACTTCCATGGTTGGGTGCAATATTAATTTTAAAATGCAAATTGTTTTGGATAAATTATTTCTATATTCTGTAAATCTGAGATTAATGTATATTTTTGTTTAAAAAATAAACGCTTTGGTAAAATTTTGGGGAAGTACAATCTGTTAAAGTATTTTTTAAGTTCTTTATTTTAGAGTGGGGCAGATGATAATCTAGGCCTGCGTGGTTTCTAAAGGAACACAGGGATCCTTTGTGGTGAGAAGTAAGTTGCAGACGGGGTACTAAGTGTAGGGGCGAAGTGGCTGAGACAAGAGGCTCCGAGTCAGAGTATGGATTAACAGTTGGTAAGAACAACTATATCCAGGGAGAGTGCATCTTAGGATATGAGAAGGGGCACAATTCATCCAAGTGACCTCAGCTCTCTGGAGGTGGAATAAAAGCAATGGTAACCCCTGACCAAAAGCAGGGGCTGGGATGTGGGTAGACAGTCCAAAAATACAGGGGGAAGGGCTGGCAGAAAAATAAGTGAAGGGAAATTATCAGGGTGTTGAAGGGCAGGAGAGCAGGTAGGGACCAGGAGAGCCAAGTCTGGCGCACAGCTGCAGGACAGGTGGTCAGCTCCTGGACAGGAAGGCAGGCTGGGACCCCATTAGGGAAATGACCCCTCTACCTTACAGAGGAGGAGGTTCTTTGAAGGAAGACAGAGGACTTTTGGGGGAGGTATCAGTAGTAGTAGCAGGTGATGAGAGAGTTCTCGTTCTAGGGGTGTTTTGTAAGGTGGGAAATTAGGATCCAGCTCTCTGCTATTCTACACTGGATAGCCTGCTTCCAGAGCAGAATTTCATGTCTGCATCAAGGCAACCCTCTGGAAGTGGGGCGGGGGAGGAGACAGGACAGATTATTAGCCTCTGTAATAGAAATGGTATGAGAAAATCTCAGCAGACCTGGGAGATGGTCCCCTCTAAAAAAAAAAAAAAAAGCCACTTTTCCTTAGGATATACTACTGTATTTAAATTGGTGAGGAATAAATGTTTTTAACAAAAGAGCACCACCTAAAGGTTCGTGCTGATGCTCAGGACTGGAAACTGCTGAGTAAAGACAACTGGTGGAGATAAAATGGTTCTTAAGAGACTCCAACGTGATAGCAAAATGTACCCTAATGGAATCTAAATATGTTTTAACAGTTGCTGCCTTCATATGATGTGAACAAAGCTTAGGAAAATTTTAAGACAGCTTCTAAAAGTCTTGTCAGAATCTGCTAGTAAGTCAGAGCTGCAGTAAAACTTGTGGTGCATTTATAAATACAGAAAGGCCTGACCGAATGAGCGGAAAACAAAGCACTTGCAGGAAGAAGCAGAGATTGGGCTGGGCCCTTAAAGATAAACACTGTAAAAGTAATCTTCTTGACCTGAATAGTCATTTTTCTAAAGATTATAAATGTCTTACAAGCATATGAAAACATCCTCAACATCATTAGTCAATAGGGAAGTACAAATTGAAACCATAATGAGATACCACTTCACACCCACTAGAATGACTATTAAAACAAAATAACATGTGTTGACAAAAATATGGAGAAACTGTAACCGCCATCTAGTGCAGATGGGGATGTCAAACACTGAGCCCACTATAGAAGACAGTTTGGCGGCGCCTCACAAGTTAAACAGGATTACCACACGCCCCAGCAATTCTAGGTGTGTGTGGTGTGTATATATGTATATCCCAAAACGCTGAAAACAGGGACTCAAACACTTAAACACCTGAATGTCCACAGAAGCACTATTTACAACAGCCGAAAAGGTAGAAACAGGGACTTCTCTGGTGGCCCAGTGGTTAAGCATCTGCCTGCCAATGCAGACGACACGGGTTCAAACCCTGCTCCGGGATGACTCCACATGCCATGGGGCAGCAAAGCCCGTGTGTGCCACGGCTGGGCCCACATGCCCTAGAGTCCACGCTCTGCCACAGGACGAGCTGCCGCAGTGAGACGCTCCATCGCCCCAACTGGAGAAAGCCAGCACATGGCAGTGAAGACCCAGCGCAACCAAAAATAAGTAGTATCTTTTTTTTTTTTTTTTCTAAAGATAGAAACAACCTGGGACTTCCTTGATGGCTCAGTGGTAAAGAATCCTCCTGCCAACGCAGGAGGCACTGGTTCGATCCCTGGGTTGGGAAGATCCCCTGGAAAAGGAAATGGCAACCCACTCCCATATTCCTGTTTGGGAAATCCCATGGACAGAGGAACCTGGTGGGCTACAGTCCACGGGGTTGCAAAAGCATCGGACACGACTTAGTGACTCAACAGCAGCAAGAAGAACCTAAAGATCCACCAGCAGGGAAACAAACGGGGTATATCCATATAATGGAATCCTACTTCTCCATAAAATGAGGCCAGTTTAAGATAGTGACATAGGAAGACCCTGAATTCACTTCCACCTGCGAACACACCAAATCTGTAGTTACACAGGGAACAATTTCCTCTGAAAAGAAATCAAAACAGCTTAATGAGGGACTCCGGGAAAAGCACGAAACGCAATCGGCAGGGAAGCTGAGACATGACTACTGAAAAGCCCACCGCTGGTGCCCTAAACTCAGGGCTGCTCCACGAGGAGCACGAGGCTGTAACTCACAGCAGGCATCCCGACATTTAAGACCTGCATCCTAGACAAGGCCGGACACCTCCAGCTTTGAAAGCCAACCGGACTCACATCTATGAGGCCCAAAGGTCACAGCAAACAAACTGCTATTAAAGAGCTCATACCTTCAGACTCACCCGCACCAGGGCCCAGCGGAGAAGGAGCCGACCGAGATGCACCCGGACTTTATGTAAGAGGCTCACTGCTTATGTTCACCTGTCGGCCCGAGGGGCAGGCCTCTGGTTTAACGCCCGTCTAGGGGCCTGCTGGGGCAGCCTCCCACGCAGAGGCTGGCCGACACCATCTTTTTTATTTTTTAATCGAGGTTTCCTTTTCTCCCCACAGTTAGCACCATCTTTACATCCTCCCTGTGCTGCAGTCTAGAGCACCAGTGTGTCCCAGGAGGGAGCTTTCACACGTATCTGGTATCCTGCTTTGCATTAGGTACCCTGGTTTTCATGACCACAGCTTAGGGGGCGCCCTCGATTATCTGGCTGTGGCGCCAAGTGGGGCTTGTGCTCAGTCGGTCCCACAGGACTGTAACCAAGAGAAAGCTCTTCACCGGCTCCCAGCTCCAGGGCACAGCAAAAGGCACCAGTCTGTGAAGGCAGACGACGAGAGTCCCACTGCCCTAGCTCGCTCTCTCTTAGTAGGCGACTTTAATACCGCAGTTTCATGAATGGATAGATCACCCAGACAGGGCACCAATAAGGAGACATTTGTTTCAAACAATGTGTTAAAGGAAAGGGACCTAACAGACACACACAGACCATTTCATCCAAAAGTAACAAAATACATGTTTTTCCTAAGTGCACACAAAACTTTCTAAAGGGTAGATCATTTGTTAAGCCACAAAACAAGTCTTCTTAATTTAAGGTGACAAATCATACCAAGCATCTTTTCTGTCCACGGTGGTATGAAACTAGAAACCAATCACAAGAAGAAAACTGGAAAAAAATCACAAATATGTGAACTTTATTAAATAAAATGCTACTGAACCACCAATGAGTCGATGCCAATGATGTGATATACATACAGAAAACCTCAAAGACTCCACCAAAAAAACTGTA